AGTGCTTCACTTAATACTTGCAAAGTCTGCATTGATGGATTAGAAGCATACAACTTGTTCAATACTGGAGACACATTTGGGAAGTATTAGGAACTGGAATGATGCCACCAAATCGCATATTTTAAGTACTCAAAAGGTGAATGGTGCAAGTGAGCTGGTTACTGGAACAGAGAAGTACCTTCTGACAAGTTGGTCACTGTACGTGTAATCAAGAGGTTTGTTGTTACTGTTCCCAAATGTTTTTGAATCTTGGTGTGTAGAGTTTTCAAGTAAGTTGGTTGCTGTTGACTGAACACAAAACATAGTTTGGCACCCCATGTGCTCCTATGTTCTGCTTCCTTCCTACATTCTGGTTTCTTCTTTTACTGCTGATTTAGTAGAAACCAGTTTGCTCTTACCTTGTATCACACAAGCTATGCATAAACACAGGCAGGACAAATCTAGTCTTAAAGCTTGTCATGGCATTCATGAATGTTTGTGACTAGATGTGTGTTTGTGGAACACTGGCCATATTTGCATGGTTTAACACAGGCCTTCCCAAAAGGGTGCCCTTCCGTGGTTTTAGAGGTCAGCTCACATCAGTCCTAGCTAGCACAGCCAATAATGCAATAATATTGCGAATTGTTTAGTTGCAAAGATCTGCAAGGCACCAGGTTCGTGGAGTCTGATCTAACAAGACGCATCGAACCTTGGTCCTGTGCTTTCTCCCGTTCCGTTCCTGTGCAGCCAAGAGGAGATGCTCAGAAGGCTTCGTTGCTTCTTTTACTTAACCACAATTTGTTGTGGTGTGTGAACCCAGAACTGCGGTTAATACCGACTCTGGTTAGTTTCAGGAAGGCAGTTCCAGGACCATAGTTTGTGCTAACTACAGTGAGCCATCGCAGATGACATGACAAGCCGGTTGAGAGTGGCGGAGGAAAGTAGAAGGTTCCACACGCGTCCGTGTGTCTGTGCCCAAGGGTCCTTTTTGCTTCTGCACACTGTTCTTGTCATGGTTTAGTGCAATGTGGAGAGTTGGCTGCTGTGAGTTGTATGTTGCACCTCTAGAAGCAAAATACTTGGCGCTAGTTAGTTAGAAAGGTTGAGCACCGAGGGGAGAACGCCACTCGCTGCCTGTATTGATCTTGACCTTAGAACTCATGTGCACATTGCAGTGGGCAGAATAGTTTATTGCAACGTAAAAATTAAATGTGTTTCAGTTAGAATTCATTTACAGCATGGTAAATGGAATGTATCAGAATAAGTGGCAGCAAGAATAGGACCGACTGGTTGTGCTCAGCCAAACTGGCTGGTATTTGGCTGAATTCTTTAGGAATCCCGGAGTTGATGGGCAGGCGCTGCGGACAAGCTCTGCATAAGCAGCACAAGGGGCAGACTCCTGTCCCGCCGTCATGAGCACTGGGCCTCCTTGCAGAAACTACCCCTGAGAGTTTGGCCGCTGGCGCCTGCTGGATGCTTTGGACTTCGACGCACATTGGTCCCAGCCAGCATGGTAAATGGTCAGGGGTGATAGGAGCTGGGGTCCACCCGGCAGGTCACGGGTTCCCACCCTGCTTCTACTCTGAAGTATGCTAGCTTTAAACTCTTCAATCAGCCTTGTAGATAGGCACAGAATTACTACTATAAATATATATGCAGGTTTTCTGTGCTTCTTTTAAGTATACCAGATGTACTTTTAAGATTCTTTTTTTTTTTACATCTTGGATTTTGGGGAAATAGCAAATCTACCATAATGGAATACTTTTATTAGAATTAACAGCAATATCTCAGAATAGTGGGCAAGCTTTTTAATTACTATCAAGTTGGTGGCAGTGCTGTGTCACTAAAAGAAAGCTGCAAGTTTTCACTCTTTATGGAAAGGTTGAACATATGCAGCTTGTTTGGGGCCTGGTGTACTGGAGAAAGTGCGCTTATGAAGCTGATACTAGACTAAGTTTAGTTGAAGTGCTGGGATGCGGTAAGATACGTTTTCTGTAAAGTTCATATTTACATGAATCCTGTGCTTCACTTTTAGAAATATGTCTCTGGAGGTGAATTGATTTTTAAATCAGGCTAATTTAAATAATTGATCTAAATCAATTTTCTAACTTTCCAAGTCTTTTATTTCTGGAACAAGTATACAAATTGTTTGTTACTTAAAACATGTCTGTTTTCAACTAAATTCTCTGGTCATACAGCACACGTGCCCTTTTGTGCTGCATAATTCATTTCAGCTTTGGGTAATTGTGAAATGAAGGATTTTTGTGTGGTATAGTCTGTCCAGGAAAGGAAGTGAAGCAAGATGATTTAATTGACTATGAAGTGCCCAGAACATTCCAGAAGCAGGGCTGCTAATTCGGTGTTGTTACTATTTTGCCATCTAAAATAAGCATCTACCCTCTTTGGAATACCGTCACTAAATGTTAATCATTTAAAGAAAAATATATGACTTGTACATAATATTTAACCACAAAAGTCACATTTTTTCCCTATTTTATAGAATACTGGCTGTAAGCCAGCTTTTCCCAACATGGTGTCTTCTGGATATGCTGGAATACAACTCCCATCATCCCTAGCAATATATATTTATACTGTCTTCATAATTTTGACATGCTGGCTGGGGAAATCGAGAAAAACAATACAGTACATCCAGTGGACATCAGGTTGGAGAACAAATAGATTTAACTTAAGGGGCTTCATTAAGAGTCATGAGTTCAATTTTAAGGAGCTTCGCTCACAATCAAGTTGAAGTTGTTCTAAGTCCCCACTGAAGCCTGGGACTTAGTGTTGACTATACTGACTTAAATGAGATAGTTGTCATGACTAGCATCAGTTGTATCAGGACGTAGGAGTATGGGAGGTAATATATTTGTATTGCATTCATAGTTTCAAATCATATATTTTAAGTACTTCAGTGTAACTGTCATTATAAAAATTGATTGTTTTTTGAAAAAACAAATCCACGCACACCCGTTTTTTTCCACCCTAGTCTCTAGCCCTGAATGAGCATGAAAGAAAAATTGATGGTATTGTGGCGAAATAGATGGATAAGAAATGAGGCAGATAGAGGGCCCTGGCCCAATTTTTACTTCCAAGGGGCATAATTGCATTTTTAAAAAGAAAAGCCTGCAGGGTTTTTTTCTTTCTAGTCGTTTGCGGATAAAATACCTGGGGCTTTCCACGTTGAATATGTTCACTAACAATATATTGTCAGCATCAGTTATTTCTACAGCAGCTAGAGGTGCTCCCAATGCATTGCTGATCATTGTTATTACAAACCAATGAGCTAAGCTTCCAGTGCAAGCTTATTTCTGGGTTATTGTCTCAATACTGGAGTTATATCAGAGGTTATTTCTGGGTGACGGGAAGCTATTAAGCTAGGTTACTTTACTTAATAGCTTGAAATTCCTGGCTATTTTTCAGACCTCCATTAGCAAAAACATATAAATAGCGTTTTGGATATATTTAATAAAATAAGGTATTTGCACATCACCCGGCAGACGGAGAAATAAGCATGGCACCATTGCCCAGCAGACACGTATGTCTCAAAGAACAGCTGTTTGGTAAGAACACAGGAACGGCCTGGCAAGATGGGCCCAGAAGGCCCGTGCAGCCTGGCGTTCTGGTTCCGGAACGGCCCGGTTCAGACAGGGCAGGGAGGCAAGAGCTCTTGTGTGGGCTGTTGCTGGCACCCGCTGTTCAGAGGCGCACGGCTTCTGAGCATGACGGTTCCTTCGCATTTCGCTGCTCTCTGACTTGCCGAATCCTCTTTTCAAAGCGATCACAGCCAGTTTTGTTGGTGCTGGGCTGGGCAAAGGCCAGCCTGGTTGAGGCTAGAAGGTTGCTTGTCTGCGACAGGTGTGACCCAGTTGATGCCCAGATACTTTAGCAGCCTGATTTTAAAGCAGAGCGGCACCAGACACAGGGAACAGACTAGTTGCAGCATCTGTGCTGAGCCTCGGGGGCATCGTCCCGACACAGTGGCATCCCATATAAGCAGAATGTTTAGGGTTGGGGGGGTGCGCGGGGGGTGGGGGCTCCGAACTTCTATTGAAAGGCAAGAACTTGCTGTCACGCTTGCCTCCAGCGCGGCAGTGGGAGCGTCTCGCCCCCTGAGAGCCAGCCTTCCTTATGCCCGGAGAGTGACTTGGCTATATTACACTTTCAAGAGGAGAGAAATCATGACAAACAGTATCCTGACATTCTGAATGCCAACACGAATGATGTTTTGTAAGCCGCCCCGAGGCTTCGGCGAACGGGGCGGCATAGAAATTCTTAAATAAACAAATAAATAAATAAAACATTTGGTTTGGATACAAGACACGAAAAGCAAACACGTACACTGAAACATCGCTGTGCATTTCCTACTTCCGTGCCTTGATTCCATAACGTGTAGGAGACGTGCATTAGAAATTAGGCAGAGACGTGATGCAGGTTGTTGTTGTTGTTGTTGTTGTTATTATTATTATTAGAACATTTCTATGCCGCCCCTTGCCGAAGCCTCGGGGCGGCTTACAACACAATAAAATACAATACAATACAATACAAAAATAACAATATAAAATTAATAATATAAAATAAAAAATATAAAAGATATAAAAGAAGTTATAAAAGAAACGTTATAAAAGAAAAGAAGTAAAGAAAAGTAAAAGGGAAAAAAAAGAAAAAAGGTTGTGTGAGACAACATAGGGCAGATTTAGGGGAAAGAGGACAGCCTCGTATTCGCGCTCCGGACTGGAGGGCGTTAGGTGGCACAGGCAGATTCGTCGGATTCCAGGCGGTAGGGGAGCTGGCTGGCAGCGGAGTGGGACCACGCTCTGTTCCCTGCTGGTGTGCTGCAGAGCAGAGAAAAGCGGGGGGCTGCGAGGCCCCTCCAGTGAGGATGGTCCGCTGTCCACCCAGAAGCCAAAGGTTGCGATCCCTCCCTCCTTCCCTCCCTCCCTCACTACCCTCCAGCAGGCTTCGTAATCCATTTCGCCAGCTAATAATTTATGTGGATTTATTTAAATGGATGAAATATGATACCAGTGGGTGGTCTTGCTGTTGCCCCGTTTCATCTTTTAAATGAATTTTAGTCACTAATATTTTACGACAAAAATTTGCATCATTTTATCCTTGACTCCTTCTAAGTGCTGTATCCTACTTAAATTGCAGGTTTTTTCTTTTGTTGCTGTGTACTTCTAGAGTAATAGTGTGTTCAGTGGCTTGCATATTAATTTGGTTAAATTCGTCGCATTGAATGGGTGCCTGCTACTTGTACTTTCTTTTAGTACTTCAGCTTGGGATAGAGGCATTTTTGAAAATCTGGCCTTGCTGTCAGGGAGCTTTTGATTTAGAACCACATTACTCCTGTTTAGCTCATCAATTACTGTTTTACAGTAGCCCAGGTAAACGTTTGGGTGAATGCATTGGAAGCTCGGGTAACACTAATTTGTCGCGCCACTTCCAGGCCCTTCTGGCCATTCTCACTCCTGGTTCCAGATTTGCATCAGATGCCTGTGTGTCTTTTAAAAACGACACACTCTGGCTACTATAAATGAGGCGTACTGAAGGGGTCTTCACATCCATCCGCAGGGTTAAGTCTTACAGAGCAGTGGTTCGGGAATAAAACACTGTTGCATTCACTCTTAATGGAGCTCCATAACTCTGTTCCATTTTAGAAGCTTTTGGTGTGCTCCTTTGACCATGACATAGTCATCTTCCTCAAATCCGCTGGGGCAGCGATGGTAGGGAGTGCATTACAATGAGGTGAACCAACAGGCCACTAGAGTAGCAGCTTTCAGGTTTTAACAGCCAGTGCCTGCAAGCCGGACCAGCCAATATCTTGACTAAATTAAATAGTCTCTGTGCTTAATAATTTGCAGTGGAAAATAGCCTAGATGAACTTCAAAACTGGGATGATAGAATAGCCGTTCTTTTTTAAAAAATTGCCATTTTTTCTTGATCCTTCACTTCTGATAAATCTGCAGATTTTAAATTTACTGTGATGCACAGAAACCTTAGATACGTAACTTTTCATGCGTTTTGCTATAATTTTATTACCGTCTTATATCTGGAGAGATTCACACATTTGGACCCTTAATGATGCTATCAGATTTGGAAGCCTTTCAGATTTTTATAAAACCCAAGGTGGTACCCAAGGCTAGATGGGGACTGGCAAAGAATCCGGTGCCCCTTTCTTAACAATTTGGGGCAGAAAGTGAGTTTATTAGCGCAGGAATGGGCGATATGTAGCCTTTGGCCCTGTATGTTCACCTCAGTTTCAACTAAAGCACTAGGGAGGTTTAGTTTCATCAATAAACTGCTGCAGCATCTTGGAAACAGCAAATTATCTTGGTTAGCTAATTTTTAAGTTTCATTTGTCCACTACACCACTGAATTCAGCAGCACAGTGGTGGTAGGCGTTTGATCCACAGGCAGGAGTAGGGGTGGAACTAGCCCCCCCTTCGCCCCATGTTCCCCCTCTGGCATTGTCCCTCTGAGAAGCTCTACTTGGGCTATCAGACAAGCCACAATGAAAATATTCTATGGGGGTTTTGTTGTTGCTGTGTTCATTTCCCCCTTAGCGCCGCCAGCTCATATCCCATAGGCTGCACTGCCCCAAAGCCTACTCTGCTAATGAGCACAAATGCACTCTTGACTGGAGGCTTCTTTATAGTTGTTTTTTTAAGCCTCCACAGCGATTTGCACAAATTCACCAGTGCAGAGGAGTTACTATGCATTTATCCAGTTCTCCACAAAAGTTAAATAAAATAAAGTTAAATTTGTGAAAGCCTTCTCGTAGGTGAAAAATCCTATTTCCATGAATCTCTGGAATTGAAAAAAGGAAGGTCTCGTCATCCTGGGAGGGGCTGAAATGGAGGGCTAAGGCGACAAGTGTTGTTTCTAGTAAGTGTCACGGAGGAGGGGTGGATGGTGACGCAGGTGGGAGATGGCACCAGCAAGACCGTGAAGGGCGTCCTGGTGTTTCCTGTCGTAGCCCTTTGCCCAGCTGTGCAAATGCCACGCTGCCGAGTTTGCATGTCATGGCAAGCCGCCACAAGCCAGGATTCCTTAGGGTGGCCTGCGTGTCGTTAAACCACTCTGAGGAAGCCACCCTGAAGCAGAACGAGGATGGCAACCCATTATAAGTCGGATCATTTTGTGACTCCAAAGGCAAACATTGAGTTACTTTTATAAGCCACAGAGAACAGCCATCTCCCAACCTGGTACCCTCGCATGTATGTTGGGCTTGAAACATCCTCAGCCATTTTGGGGAGGGCTATCCTAGGAAGCCATCTTAGCATCTTTTTGGTAAAAGATGAAAGGCTGAAATGGTTTGTCGTATTTCTCTGGGCTTGGACATGCTGGCACCTTCATGGGATCCTTCCTGCAGTGAGTTGGTAGGTGTGTCATTTGTCCTAAATTTCATGCTAGTTCCACTAATAGGGGATAACAATAGGATTCTTGACTCTAGGAAAATGTCAGACTCTCGTTAGTCAAGTTGTTAGTGGATTTGGTTCTCATTCCTCTGGGAACATCGCGATTGTATGTCCATACGAAATGGAACGAAAGCGCGAGTTCCTCTGACCTGCAGCATGTATTCATTTCGCTGTGGCTTGTGCAGGTAGCATTCCCCCAACGGGCCGCTCCGTTTCTTTTTTACTTCAGTTGCTAAATTTATAGCAACTGTCTCATTTTGGAGACTAAATGCTAGGTATTAGCCGACTGTTTATGGCTGCAAAAGCCTCCAGCTGGTATTTCAACGGTGGCTTTACCTGCTTCTTTTGAAAACATGTTTGACCTTTCAAGATACCTCTGGATGTAAGGAAGGTAAACGATATAATGCCCTGAGATACGGTTTTAACTAGAGCCTGGGTCTTCCCCACCCCCATTCGTTGGATTTAATGACCCAGCTGGGAAGAGAGTCCAGTCGGCTTGGCTTCCCTCCAAGACTTTCACCATCTGAGCTGTTAGATGCTTCGGAGGGCTCTGATGCCGCTCTGATGCCGCAGCGATAGGAGTACTTAAGAAAGCCATAGAATGCCTCGGATTAGTTGCCTAATTCTTGCACATTTAAAGCCCAGTTCTGCTTCCCTAAGAGTTTGTTTGGGGTTACTACGAGGTATAATGTCACAACCAGGCCCTTACTGTTTAGTTTGCTGCTTGAAATGTGACGAGAAAACGGGTCTTTCCTCTGCTAGTGACTGATGTGCTTGATTTGATAGGCTATGCTCGGTTAGTTTTTCCTAATACACAAAACAGAAGAAAGACCTTGTTTATAGCTTTCTGAACAGTAACAGTGCTAACCAAATATATAGATTACAAAAAGGCTGTATGACTTGTAAATCATGCAGCAGGGGGAGGCTTGTTCCTGTAGGGCACAGTTTAAAATGAATGGACGTTACACAGTAGCCGTGCCTTGCACTATTGAGTGGTTAACCAGAGTGAAAAGACTGGAAGGGTGCAGGGTGATAACGAACTACAGAAGTTGCTGTGTATTCCCTTTGCATCTTAATTGGCATGCAGATACATCTAAGCTGTACACTGGGAATTCTTAACATTCTTCTTTGGTGATACAGAAAGACTTGAAAAGCCTTGTTAGTAAAAATAGCTCTTTAATTATCAAAAATAGATTTATCTCACAATTATGGTGAAGGCATGGCCTGGTTGAATTTTTAGATATTTTCGTAGCCCGAAGCATGTTGCCGTTTGGGAATGGAGAATTTCTTGTTTATTAAATTGCTCATCCTAATGACCTGTACCTAATATTGGTAGGTACAGATATTTGTCATTCTGTTCTGCCTTCTGGGCTTCATATGTAGAATCCCTAACGTCCACACTTATAATTAACAGGTACAAGTATAATATCCCATATTCCACTTTGGCTGGACATGTATAGAAAAGATGGGAAAACATGGGGCATTTTTAGTGTAGCAAGATGGTTAAAGAGTGCAAAGGAATGAATAATGTGGATCCAAACTGGAGTGTACGCTACCAGCCTCTCGTCCGTTTGCAGTGATCCTTCATTTTTATGGCAATAAGTGTGTATTTATTAATTGACCCTCTATCCTCAGAACAAGGTGAATAGATTTGAGCTCATGGCCCTATTAGGCAGATCACTTTTTAAAGTTAAATTTGTGGGGTAATAAGGTTCCTGTATATTGCATTTTGAAAAGTTCTTGTAAATTCTTAGCTGTGCTGCTACTTCTCCTCAGCGTTTCGTATGTTTCATGTTTATTTTCTAAGTTATATTAAATAAACTTCCCATTAGGTATGCAGAGTCTCATTCTTAAAAGCCGGAGGTGAAAGGGTTGATCCGACGTGCTTGCTTCTTTAAAATGTGTGTAAGACTTTCTGATCCCAATTTTGGCCATGTGTTTAGGTGTGGAAGTATGTCCAAAACTGAGGACTCAAATCAGGAGGCTAGGATTCCTGTGTGCTTCAGATTTTCATGGTCTTGGTTATGCATGTCAAGAGAAATGTATCTTGTCAAGTACTACTTGGAAACTTTGCTCTTGTCGAGAAGCAAGATTTGTTTTGTCTTTCTCCTGGAAAAAGGGATATTATTTTGAATGACTCAGTTGAGTTGACAGTATTCCATTCTTTTGTATGAACTGACATAGTATCAGCTCTTGTTGGAGACAGCTCTGGACTCAGGAAAGCAAAGGGGCGTTTGTGCAGCCGTCATGCGCAGTGTATTGGTAAACTGCACATACGCATGAATCTTGCGCCTTAGTGCCTTGCAGAGTTGTTTGAGCACCGAGTGGGTTGCATGCATCCTGAGTTAGCAGAAATGTTGCTTGCACAAATCTATTTCAGTCAATGGGAGCTGGGTAAAAGTGGAGCTTTCTTTAGAAAGGAAAACATTTTGCCGCTTAAATGACATGATGCAAGTGCTTTAAAAGTAGTAACAACCCCCCTACCCTTTCTCTTGATACCAGTCACATAAGTAGCGGACTTCCTAGGTGGAATTTAAAGAGCTGTATGATAGATTTAGTGCATGCACTGGGATTTTTCAGAGTCAGCCCCTCCCACTTACAGCCCTTGAGTTAATTTGGAAGGCTGCTTTCAAAACCAGGAGGACCTCTGGAGTAGGCATTTGATGTCGCAGTAGAGCCCCATAGCATGGTAAGGACAGCTGGAGGAGGACTCGGGCACAAGAGCCGAGAGCAGAAACCTTTGTTTCAGCCTAAGCCAGAGAAGCACATTCTTCTACTGATTGTGAGTTAACCTTCCCTACCCCCAGCCGGCTTTAGAGACGGGAAAAAGCAGGCTATTAATGTGTCATAACTTTGTTAACTTAAGTTTTGCAATAGATTTACTTAAGCTAGAGCATTCATTTGGTTTCCACGAGTTCTTGCCAGCATTCTAAAGATTGCAGAATGAACCATTATGCTAAAAGCACATCAAAGATTTATTTATTTATTTATTTAAGATGGCTCCCCTTCATAGTGGACCTTTACTTAGCCAGCGGTGTGGGTTCTGTCTGCTGAGGATGATACTTGTTGCTCCATAATCCCCCCCCCCATTTAAGAGCAAAAAATGGGGGTCGTGCAGACAGTAGTGCCAATGTGAATTGCGTACATGTTTAGTTTTTCTCCTCATACTGGTAAATTTCCAAAGGGTTCTAGATGTGGGATGACTCTGTGGTTGATGTGCCTGGCCTGAAAACTCATGTACACCCTTTGTTTAAGAATAGCCCATCTGTTGCCTGAGATTAAATGTTTCAGATCCAGATGGTTAAAAGCTTAAACCAGCCTTTCCAAAAATACAAATGACCCATTTCAGAGATTTTCTACACTTGAGCCACTGTGGTGCAGTGAGAAAATTTACGACTCCACGAGGAAATCCTTTCCCATTGTTGCACCTACAGTATATTCAGCCAGCTGAAGCAGCACCTCTTGCGCCACTGTGCTGCAGGGTCACCTGGAGCCGGCTTTATGAAAAGCGATTTTGAGCAGCGTGTCATTCTGAAAGCATGACAGAATGTTTGCAGCATTGCACACCCCTGAAATTAAGTTAATTTGTGGTCTGTTGTAAGGAAAGCACTCCGTTGGGATGTGTTTAATTTTGCACAAGAATGGTATCGAGCAAACCAAGATAATTCAGTCATGGGCTACTTGCAGCAATGGAACATTTCTTGTTTCCACCAATAAAACATGGTAGTATAATGCTGTGTTTCTTGTATTTAATGGCAGACTAACTAGTTTGGCTCCAGTTTTGTGCCACTGCTTAGCTAACTAGCTTTTCACGCTAGTGTTCCCTGTTTTTCTTCCTAGGAGCATTTGCTGTCGAGAGGCTGTCCCTTACCTTCTTGTTTGTTTCTTCGTGCATGTTGTATTTTTGATTTGTAAGCTGCATGTCAGTGATGGTGGGGGAGATACAAATATAGTGAAGAAATAAATACAGCTGTGATGGCACACACAATTGCCGTTTCAGATTTCTGTGCATAACAATATTAAGAACAACTGTTGAAATACTGGAAGGTTCTGTTGCAGATACCGTCTGATAGATGAAAAACATTTTTTGTAAACAGGTATCCTGGATTGGGCAACACATTGTAATATAATGTGTGTTTCATACAGATCGAGGGAGAATTTTTCCGGAATGCTGATCGAGAGGCCCAAAGGCCAAGCCTGACCCTCCGGGGAGCCCCAGAAGGCCGTGCTCCCGTCCCTTGTCCCCAGCCATTTCCTCCAGTCATTCAGTGGCTTCTCAGCTTTTGCAGTTTGTCCCTGTCCCAGAAGACCACAGCCCTCATTTGTTCATTGCCCCACTCACAACTTGTTCAGGACATCTGCTACCTCACCTGGATTAAATGAAAAGGAGAGTAAAGCTGAGAAGACTTCCTCCGGCATCTTCAGGCACTTTCATGTAGATGCTAAATAGCTTGAGGGGTAAAATGGATTCTTGGGCGATGCCGTGGCAGAACCGCCTCCCAGATGGAGTGGACCAGTGTCAAGCGGTGCCCCCGCCTCTCAGTTCGGCCATGGAAGGACTGAATGATATTCATTCATTCATTCATTCAGTGCCTATATAGCCCGCTTTACACATCGTAACTCTCACAAAGCAGTTGTGCAGGGGTTAGGCACAAGCACATATAAAAGTACACAAGTGCTATCAGTATTTACCAGGACTTGGAGAAACTTTCAAGCCAGGAGTCTGTCTAGTCCAGGGTCTGCTCACGCAGTGGCCAGCCCTCTGCTCACAGAATCACACAAGCAAGGCCCTTCCTGCCCAGTTCCCCAGCAAAGGGTGCACTGCCTCGAAGGTAAATTTTTGCAGGGTTGCGATGGAAAAAGCAACAAGAACGGCAATATTTAGGCAGCAGGAGAAAACAGTAATTTTGGAGCGCGTTGAGTGAGCGTGGAATGAAGTGGAACTATTCTAGTCATGTGGCTATTAACTGCTGGGAAACTTATCTTTATTGCTCGTAATTTTTGTTTGTTTCTGATTTTAAGTGTTTACTTGGTACGAAACTTGCTGACACAGTCTTAAATGTTTATAGTTTCATTTTTGAAATACTGCGGCCAAGTCCAAGGAGAAGAATAGCAATGCATCGGGATGTCCCAAAGCCGCAGGATTTCATTAAGCGCACTTAAATAGTTCACCAGATGCCCAGGAAGCATATTTGTGATTAAAGTTTCAGTGGCACAGAAGTTCAGTATCTAGAAAGGTTTATTTCTTTGAAACACCGTACTCAATAAGGGCTGTTTATGTGGCAGTGTGCCAGATCCTGGCTCTTGCTTGCCCTTGTTTAGCTGTATCGTCAATCGGTTGCATGTGTCATTCCGCTGCGTTGTTGAATGACGTTGAATCCCACCTCTTTTCTCCTGCTGGGGAAGCTCCCTGCTGCCCTTCCCAGGCCCGTGGGTGCTTCCCTTTGCCTCCTGGGCTTTCCAGTACCGGCCACCTCAGTCCTTTCCCTGCTGATCCGTGGAGTTTTCTGTTGCGGCTGACTCGTTTCAGGCACTTCCCAGGAGCTGAAGCAGTTTAGTACTGGAGGCATAGGATGGAGCCGGCTGCTGGGATTCTCCAGACTCCGTCTGCCAGCTAACTGGCTTCCGTTGATCTTGCCTAAAGCCATTCCTTGCCGCTTCTGAGGGTATAACCTATCAAAACCGCATCTGATAGGTTGTGCAATCTGACTGCTCTACCTCCATGTGTTGGGTTACAATTTACTCCCTCTGTGACTCACTCTATGCAGGCTGGAAATTGCACTTTAGTCTTTGTACTGGGACCGGCAGGATTATCACACGAACTTGTTTCCATGTTAAGATGTTTTTTTTTCAATTTACTACTTGCGTAAGCCCCCGTGTGTTGCAGCAGCTGCATCTGTGAATTACGCGCCCACAGGCTTTTTGCTGAGTACCTTCACATCTTCCATCGGGAATGGGGAGGAAGGGCTTTGTTGCAAGGGTGGCACATGATGGGCCTGGTTTATAGCAGCAGCTCTAAGGTTCTGTTCTGCACAATGCACCGGTATTCCGGTCGAGGGGATTCAAGTCGAGAGATGCTGCTGGCGAGGCTTATCCCAGAGCTTGCCCTTCAGCTGCAGAACACTCCAGAGGTCCTGAGGCTCAGAGTCCCTGGGGCGCAACCTCTGGTGCTGGCCGGGGTGAGGAAACGGGTGTCAAGAAAGCGGTCTCTGAACATGCCAGAGTTCAAGGGGGCAACCCTGGCGGCGGCCTGGTTCCGTCCACCATTTAGTGCAGTGGTGCTGCCTGGTTGGGAGCCAGCATGCATGCTCGCGCCTGTTTGTTCACAGCCACATGTGGTTTGTTTAATCATGGGGGGGGGGGGCATGATCCATGTGCTGCATGTGACCTGTGCTGCCCACCAGAATTGCTTAATCTTTTAATAAAAGGGCCTGGAACAGCCTTTTGTGCCCTTTTAGTGTTCTGTAGCTGTTCTAGACATCGTTTTAATTCTGTTTTGTACTATTTTGGTGGTGTGTGGGGGAGATGAAGTCTATGGGAAGGGGCCCATTGAGATGAAATTGGCCATAAGTTTAAATTTACCCTGGTTTAAACTGTGGACCTTTGCATCACCCAAATCAGATAAATAGCATGAAAAAGGCTGCTTTTGCTCTGAGCTTTGTAGGCTGTAAACCACCTTTTAAATGATAGGGTGAATTGTAGAGACAAAAACAGATTTTTTTTCCAAGACCGAAAATCTAGTGGCTTATGACTTTTCCTTTTGTTAATACAAAAAAAAAAAAAAAAAAAATCCCAGCTCTTCAGAAGATTCCTCTTGCAGAAGCCCTGGTGAAGGGTGTTTGGGGTTGGTAGAAAACCTCTGAGTTATAACTGCACTCAACTAGGATAAACTTTTCAAGTGACCTTCGATTTAGAGCAGCCTTGAATTTCTAGTTTGTGTCAGCTTCCTCTTTCCCACTTTGCTGTAGCGTTGCAAATACTTAATCTGGTGACTCAGCTAATTTTTCTAAAAACGGCCTCTTAGAAAAGTTGAATGCAGTTAGGATCAAATGCCCCAGGTTTCTTTTTCTAGTTCAAGTGCACAATAGCATTTTCAAACTTACAGCAATCTTTTGTCTTCTGTAATTCATCCAACTGAAGAACTAGTTAAACTGCATTATTCAGCCATCAAAGCAAAGAATAACTTATACTGACTGCAGATTCAAAGTCCACATTCTCTGACAACAGGCATGTTATAACTATGAAAACTAGCAATGTCATCTAGATGCTGGGTTTTTCTTTCTTTCTTTTCCGAATTTTAATACCACAGTATCAGTTTTTATCTGAATTTTAAAAAACACTGCAAGGGTATTTAAACATGTTTAACATGACACAAAACCTACATGACTGACACAATTTCTTATTGCTTCTTAATTTAAGTAAAATCTACTTTTGTATTGAGACCTTGGTTGATGTATCAACAACTTAACAGTTTTCACTGGTGGTGATCCCCTTAAACAGAGCCCACCTGTTCAGGTGGATATTATCTTCCTGATGAAAGGAAAGATAGAGATCATTTTGACCTTAACAGAAAGATAAATTTGGCTTGCTACGTTCTGGGTTTATTTATTTATTTAGTAAGCTTCTATGCTGCCCGTTCTCCGAAGCCTCGGGGCGGCTCACAATAATTGTTGACAATATTGTGCCCATAAAATATCTTTGAAGGGAAGGAAGGATAGCACGGCTGTTTCTGCTGGTCCCGGACTTGCCTTTCTTACTGGTCAAGATGTTCTCTTTTGCATTCTCCTTGTTGATCATGCTAAATCTCAAATTGTGGCCAGGTGGAAAAGGGAGTTCATAAAGTTGACGCGTGGCTAAGCGCCCACAAACCTCAGAAGGTGGCAGTTAATTGGTAGTTAGCGAGGTTTCTGATTGGTTGTGATTAACTCTTGGTTTGTAACTACTGCCAGATAAACTATATGAATCAAATGTGCGTAGCTGTTTAAAACTTTATTGGCATAACCTTTTTCCTGATGAGTAAGAATCCCTGCTTGTAAACCAGCTTACCTGTGTGGCTGCTTTTGCACACTTGTTCAGGAAATCTGAAAATAGGCTTGCCTTTTCTTGTGCACATTTTCAGTCTAGGGTGCTTGAAACATCCTCCAAAGCAAGATAAGCCAGAGCTGAGATACAATGATATCACAGTCCTGAGTCATGTGCAGCATCTCCCTCGAGGAAGCATTCCTAGCGCTTTGGGAACATTGCCAGCTGAATTTTCCAGCAGGCAGCAATCTCAGATATCCAAATGCTGCTAACCTCAAATTGTCGCCGTGGCAAGTATTAAACTGTAACGAATTGCCTCTGTCTTCATAACCGAAGAACACCTCATTTTTTAAAATAACAAAATTCAAATTCAAGTACTGTTAATGAACCACTCTGGTATAGTACAGAGTAGGATAGATCTGTATGGGGGAAGCTTAGATTCAAATTCTTCACGTGTCATGGGTGGCCTTGGGCAAAAATACCTTCAAATAACGAGTTGCTCATCAGTAGCATAAGGATGCATCCATCTGCAATGGTTAATTAGCAGTCGGATAAGACCAGATATTAACGTAGGTTCCATGTTGAATGTATATTTTATTTATTTTCCATGGGATTCAGGTTAGCATACCAGGCCTGTCTGTGCATACAGGGGTGTAAAGAAAGCCAGTAGAAATGTGCCAGTGGCAAAATTTATTCATTGTAATATTTGCTTTGTTCACGACTCCGTCGATTTTTCCTCTGAAGGTTGTCGTGTTGCTTTTGAGACTGCCTGCTGCAAGTCTGAGCTCCTTCACTTGGGGCAACCTGCGTCCCCTTCCGTCCTGGCAGTCTGCCTTATAACCCTCCTCAGTTGTGTTTCCCTCTGCACAGAGCGTGGTGGATGCCACAGGAGAGCAGCCTTAGGGTTCACAACTGCACGTAAAGTTTATTGTGCTGAGTGATCCTAGCCATGCTGGCAAAGCACGGTGGGTCAGCCATGAACAACCCCCTCCAAAAAACACACAGTTTGGGGGACTGGTAATCGCAGTGCTTTTTTTGTCATAGAACGCACCGGAGCAGAGTTCTGGCACCTTTTTTTGACAGATTTTCCAAGTTTTAAAAGTAACTTTTGAAAATTTTATGTTTGGTCCACGTGGATTTGAATCGCCCTGTCGAGCGTAGCAGGTCAGCGGCAAAATCATTAAAACGGTGCATGCGGGCTGCTTGTGTGTCGAGTCTGATGCGTGTGTACTTTGTCCGCGCTGGTTGTGATGCTGCTGCTCGGCTTGTGGCGCTGCTCGGCTTGTGATTGGTCGTGTGGTCACGCACGGAGCTTACTGTGGGTGGCAACCGTTATGTTTCGTTACACAACTGACGTGTGTGGGTGTGTGAACAGTGATTGACTACGTACGAAAGGTAAATAATTTCTTGAGTTCCGGCACCTTTTTTCTTACAAAAAAAGCACTGGGTAACCGTGATTAACAAACAATGATTTGTCAGCAAGGCTAGGTTCACACAGTCACAACAGCCCGTGCTCAACTTGAGTGCTATTGTCACGTTGTGTGAAACCAGCAAGTGTTTTGAAGTGCTTCCAGGCAAGACTTGCTTTGCACTTCCACTCCCTTGTCCATGGCATTTTATTTGCAGTGCGTATGCCGTACCCTCCGATTTGTAGTGCTTTTGTGTTTTCCAACCACCACTTCTATAATTTTCCTCACTGGAAAAAAATCCTTTGAGGAAGAAAAGGTTGAATAGGAGCCTTCTGTCTGGACGTTGCTTGTAAGAGGAAGAAGTGCTACAAAAGAGCACAGCAGTCAGGTGTGCTGCTGAAGCAGTGGGAGAGGTGGGGACGCTGCCCGTGGGTCTGGTTTCCCCCTGCCCCACCTCGCATGCTGCTTTCGGATCCTGTCCAGACTTGCTCTCTTTTTACTGAGAAGGGCTGCATCCTCAAGTAACGTGCAAGGGGTGTTGCTCACTTGCGTTCTGGTGGTGAGGGGCATCCAGCTGCATCGCGAGCTTTCAGAACACAGCCTTGGCGTCAGCTTGAAGGGGCTATTTCACCTTTGCGGAGGTTTTAGTCGCACATTCGAAGCTGAACAGGGACTTCTGTGGGTGCTCTGGCTCGCTCTTCTAACTGTGTTTTTGCTGTACTTTCAAACGTCCTAAGGCCACCTGTTTTTCCTTTTCTCTAGGGGGAAATGCTGCCTCTCCCACTGTGAGGACCCACCGAGCTGCTGTGGATGCCTTCGAGATGGAAGCTGCCACCCTCACTGTCCTGGCGATCGCTCACCTGGATTGCTAATCGTCACAGAACCGTTTTGAGGTGGCACGGGGCCGCAGCGGACAGCAGTCACCTCGGAAGCAGCCCGGCGTAACAGGATGTTTGGACGATGATGATGGCACGAAAGCAAGATGTCCGCATTCCCACCTACAACATCAGTGTGGTGGGGCTGTCGGGGACGGAGAAGGAGAAGGGGCAGTGTGGCATCGGCAAGTCGTGCCTGTGCAATCGGTTCGTGCGGCCGAGGGCGGACGACTTCCACTTGGACCACACCTCGGTCCTCAGCACCAGTGACTTTGGGGGAAGGGTGGTTAACAACGACCACTTCTTGTACTGGGGGGAAGTTGTGCGCTCTTTGGAGGACTGTGTGGAATGTAAAATGCATGTGGTGGAACAGACGGAGTTTATCGACGACCAGACTTTCCAGCCCCACCGCAGCACAGCCCTGCAGCCCTACATCAAGAGGGCGGCTGCAACCAAACTCGCGTCGGCTGAGAAGCTCATGTACTTTTGCACGGATCAGCTTGGGCTGGAGCAGGACTTCGAACAAAAGCAAATGCCGGATGGGAAGCTCCTGGTGGATGGCTTTCTCCTCTGCATCGACGTCAGCAGGGGCATGAACAGGAACTTTGATGATCAGCTTAAGTTTGTTTCAAACCTGTACAATCAACTCACAAAAACAAAGAAGGCAACTGTGGTAGTTCTCACCAAGTGTGACGAAGGCGTGGAGCGGTACATTAGAGATGCGCACACCTTTGCCTTAAGCAAAAAGAACCTCCAGGTGGTCGAGACGTCCGCCAGATCCAATGTGAACGTTGACTTGGCTTTCAGCACTTTAGTGCAGCTGATTGACAAAAGCAGGGGCAAGACTAAAATTATCCCTTACTTCGAGGCTTTGAAGCAGCAGAGCCAACAGATCGCTGCTGCGAAAGATAAGTATGAGTGGCTGGTGAGCCGCATTGTCAAAAACCACAATGAGACTTGGTCGAATGTCTCACGCAAGATGCAGTCCTCCCCAGAGTACCAGGATTACGTCTACCTGGAAGGGACACAAAAAGCCAAGAAGCTCTTCTTGCAGCACATCCATCGCCTCAAGCAAGAGCATATAGAGCGGAGGAGGAAGAAGTATCTTGCTGCTTTGCCCCTTGCTTTCGACGCCCTCATTCCAGACCTTGATGATATAAACCACTTGAGCTGCATAAAAGTGGAGAAACTGTTGGAGACGAAGCCGGACTTCTTAAAGTGGTTCGTTGTTCTTGAGGAGACCCCTTGGGATGCCACCAGCCATATCGACAACATGGAAAACGAGCGCATTCCGTTCGATCTGATGGAGACGCTGCCTGCGCAGCAACTCTATGAGGCCCATCTAGAGAAGCTGAGGGACGAAAGGAAAAGGGCGGAAATGAGGAGGGCCTTCAAAGAGAACTTGGACACGTCCCCCTTCATAACACCGGGAAAACCCTGGGAAGAGGCTCGCAGTTTTATCATGAACGAGGATTTCTACATGTGGCTTGAGGAGTCTGTCTACATGGATATTTATAGTAGACACCAGAAGCAAATTATCGAAAAGGCCAAGGAGGAGTTTCAGGAGCTGCTTCTGGAATACTCAGAACTGTTCTATGAGCTGGAGCTCGATGCCAAACCCAGCAAGGAGAAAATGGGAGTCATCCAGGACGTGCTGGGTGAGGAGCAAAGGTTTAAAGCGCTGCAAAAGCTTCAGGCCGAACGAGATGCGCTGATCTTAAAACACATTCACTTTGTGTATCACCCAACGAAGGAAACCTGTCCCAGCTGCCCGACTTGCATAGATGCTAAAATTGAGCACTTGATAAGTTCCAGGTTCACAAGGCCATCCGACCGGAATCAGAAGAACTTGCTTTCTGATTCCAATATAGACAGAATCAACCTAGTCATTCTTGGGAAGGATGGACTTGCCCGTGAGCTGGCAAATGAAATTCGAGCTCTTTGCACGAACGACGACAAATACGTGATAGATGGGAAAATGTATGAACTCTCCTTGAGACCAATTGAGGGTAATGTCAGGCTCCCCGTTAATTCTTTCCAGACCCCAACATTTCAGCCACACGGTTGCCTCTGTCTTTATAACTCTAAGGAGTCTCTGTCTTACGTTGTTGAAAGTATTGAAAAGAGCAGAGAGTCTACCCTTGGCCGAAGGGACAACCACTTGGTCCACCTTCCGTTGACTCTGGTTCTGGTGAACAAGAGAGGCGATCCCAGCGGAGAAACCCTTCATAGCCTAATCCAGCAAGGACAGCAGATCGCCAGTAAGCTGCAGTGTGTCTTCCTTGACCCTGCTTCTGCTGGCATTGGGTACGGGCGTAATATCAACGAAAAGCAGATCAGCCAGGTCCTGAAAGGCTTGTTGGACTCGAAGCGCAACTTAAATCTGATGAGTTCGACGGCGAGCATTAAAGATCTGGCTGATATCGACCTGCGGATTGTCATGTGCTTGTTGTGTGGAGATCCCTTCAATGCAGAGGACATCCTTCTGCCTATCCTTCAGTCCCAAACCTGTCGACCTTCTCATTGTGGAAGCAGCAGCTCCGTGTTACTTGAATATCCCATAGGACCGCACAAGAGGCGCATAGAACTCTCCATGCTGTCGTACCATTCCTCATTCAGCATTAGGAAAAGCTGGTTGGTCCATGGCTACATTTTGTTTTATTCAGCTAAACGTAAAGCATCGCTGGCTATGTTACGTGCCTTTCTTTGTGAAGTGCAGGATATAATCCCTGTTCAGATAGTGGCACTCACGGACGACTCGATAGATGTTCTAGACAATGACTTAAGTAGAGAACAGTTGACCGAGGGAGAAGAAATTGCGCAGGACATAGAAGGAAAGTTTGCAACCATCCCTTGCAGTCAACCTCGACACAAACTCGAGATTTTTCACCTGTTTTTCAAAGATGTCGTGGAGAGAAAAAACATCATTGAAGCCACTCACATGTACGATAATGCTGCCGAGGCCTGTAGTACAACAGAGGAAGTGTTCAATTCTCCCCGGGCTGGCTCACCTCTCTGTAATTCCAACCTCCAGGATTCGGAAGACGACATTGAGTCAACCTACAGTCCTTTCAGAGAGGACTCATCCATGCCCGCGTTGTCCAAAGATCTTTCTAAACTTTCCATGGAACTGGAGGGGAATGACGTTGCTGTCTTTTCCGTTATGAGCACTTTTGAAAGCAAACTGAACAACAAAGTACCTCCGCCAGTAAAACCAAAGCCCCCTGTCCATTTTGATATCACAAAGGGGGATCTCTCCTACTTGGATCAAGGGCACAGGGATGGGCAGAGGAAGTCCGTTTCATCCAGCACCTGGCCCCCCGCAGATGGCTTTGACCCTTCCGATTATGCAGAGCCCATGGATGCAGTAGTGAAGCCAAGAAATGAGGAGGAAAATATTTATTCTGTGCCTCATGACAGCACCCAAGGCAAAATAATCACCATCCGCAATATCAACAAGACCCAGTCCAACGGCAGTGGCAACGGGTCAGACAGCGAAATGGACACGAGCTCCCTAGAACGTGGCCGGAAGGTGTCCGTCATTAGCAAGCCAGTGTTGTATCGGACACGATGCACCAGGCTGGGGAGATTTGCGAGTTTCAGGACCAGTTTCAGTGTAGGGAGTGATGACGAATTGGGGCCTATTAGGAAGAAAGAGGAAGACCAGACTTCCCAAGGATATAAGGGGGATAATGCTGTGATTCCGTATGAAACTACTGACGAAGATCCACGGAAACGAAACATCCTGCGTAGCTTAAGGAGGACAACGAAGGTAACTTTAATGACTTCTGGTGTGTTTTTAACGTCAAATGCTGTGGCTTGGCAGACTTTTACTGCCAATCCAGATTAATTGCTTTGGAAAATAGGTATCTGTGCAGGGCATAGGGGTGCGAGCAGAGAGGCTGGGTCTGGGGGAAATGCCACATCCGCAAGAACATTATGCACCTGTTCAGGTCTTTGGGGGCAAAAATAGAGGTGGAGTGCCTGTGTTTTAGGAAAATTTCAGGTGCCGTGACCGGTTTGCATGTCATGGCAAAAGCTTCGGTTCTTTAACCTGGGAATTGACAGGGTAGCACTGCCTGTATTTCCCCCCGCCCCCTCACCTCTTTGACTTCCAGTTGGAAACCCAGAAACCCGGCACTGGCTCTGGGTGGTTTAACCCGTAGACAACCCTGAATTCCAGGTGTGGACATTATGAAAGTGCCCACGAGCAGCGAGTGCCTTGTGCTCTTAGCTGAATGTGAAAGTGAGAAGGTGGGGCAAGCACGTTTGCCAGACCCGTGTTCACAAGTAGCCTGTGGTTGGCTAACCTTGGGTTTGGTCATCTGAACCTGGCCGGCGTGTTACATCTGTGGGAGATAGTGCCAGCTCTTTTCCTTTGCCTGTTCAGCTGTCTGAGCACTCAACAAAACCAAAGGGTGTTGACCAACTTTTCTGGGGCTTGCTGTAAAGCTAAAGGAATTCAGCATTTTCACTCTCGTCTTTTTACTGCATCAGTAAAAATTATTACTGCATCAGTTCCGATTGTTGCTGGTAAACTTCTCTAATCAACATGATAGAATTAATGTGTCCGCTGAAGAATTATCTAAAATGTGTTGTGATAAAAGTTTATGTATTTCCCTTCCATCCCTCCAAGATCCTATGTTTCCTTTTCAAATCCATCTTCTGCAAGAAATTCATAAACAAGAAGAAGCTGACCCTGTAAGGAGTGGTGAATTTTGATGTTGTCTATTGTGCATGTGAAGCCTGTGTTTAAACTTCTATTTGGGAACTTCATTATTGTAAAATGGAGCCACTTACAATATCCCACCCACATGTGTGAGCAGATGACAGTTTTTAGCCTTGCAAATAGGATATATGGAGAGAGCTGGTTTTATGTAAGTTTAAGATAACTCTCTTCATTTGAAACTCTCTTTCTCTGAGTTATTTTCTTAACCTGGACTTTTTGTGGGGAGATTTTTTCATTGCAACACAGAAAGCTACTGAAGAGAAGTAAGTTCATTTCTTTCATGCGAAGACTTTTGTCTCTTTAAACAATGTCGTGACTGCTTTGCAAAACAGTGGCGATTTCATACTTGTAGCAGCTGTCCCCTGCCAGCCGGGTATACTTCTCTTCATTGGCATTGGAGTCCTGTTCCTGGAAGAGAGAAAAACACAAAGGCAGGCTGCATTGGTGAAACACTTTTTGAGAAAGATTGAATAATGGGTTAGAGCTTTCTTTTTCTAGTTTCAAAATATCTATTATATTTCCTCCCAAAATCTGTTATGGCTTAATACAGTTGAAAGCTGGAAGTAGAAAAAGCTTCAAAGCTATTTTTAGAGAACGATTCCCAGTCATGAATTCCACAATGGTTTCTTGGATCTCTCAGTAGGAAAACAACCCTTGATTAGAAAGAGTGTGAATATCATTAACTCTTCCCTTCCGGAGCAGGACAGCGAAACCTGTGCGGGCCGTATTTGTGCTATGGCACCTGTCTGAACTGCCAGTGAAGGGAAGAGAGGAAATTTAAAAGTACGGGGTGGGAGGAGGTAGCCAACTTGCTAATCAGCTTCAAGAAGCACGGAAGCCGTTTCTAGAAGTGTTCGCTTACCATCAGAAAATGAACAAAAACTATGACTGGAATGCTTTAGGAGGGAGGAGCTCCGTAAGGGGCTGAGCGCAGGGGAAGGTGCTTAGCCGCCATATAATCAGCAGAGGGAGCACAAGTTAACTGCCAGACACGATTATTAAAGCCTTAAGCTGGTGCAAGAACAGCTAAGTGAATCGAAAGCCTTTGTCAAGCTCTCTTGAAAGTGCAGGAAAGCTTCTCAAATGCTTGCTTAATAAGGGTTGGGGACGGGGGAGGCAAAGCGGGGGAACCGTGTTGCTTCCACAGAAGGAATAACAGCATGGAACTTAGTGGCCCCACATTTAAAAATTGCAGATTAAACCAAAAGAGCTGGCCACGTTGGTATTCTTGTGAGCTGCCGGTGGAGCAGCAGGTCGCTTTCGTGGGCCTTCAGAGTAACGGGTATTAATTTCTTCCATTCTTCCTGATGTGGTGCTCAGCCTGTCATGTCCGTATGCTCTGAAGCAACTCGAGGTTCCAGGGGCTGCACCTCCTTGCCAGACAATCAGGCGAGCTCAGTAACAGCGCTTGCCCACCGGCAGTGCCCCCAGCGACACATGCCCACCCTTAATCGCAGCAGGTGCCATGTTAAGGTCGGCATCGCATGGATGTTGGGCAGGCACCATCTTTAAAGGAGCAACCGCTGTCGCTCCGTGTGGGTAAAACCGGGCTTGAATTGGCGTGACTTGTCCGGGTTGGTGGAGCATTTTCCTTCTCGGCAATTAACCCGCCTTGCCTCGGTGCCTAATTTATAAAATGAGAGGCTCTGTAGTGACGGCCTTTACCCTCTCACCTAGAATTCTTCCTGGCTCTCAAGATGGCGTTCAGGTGGGTCACATCCTGTGTGATGAGGAAAAAGTATCTCTGCGCAGGCTTGGGGTCACCAGTTTTTCAGTGGATGGAATCTCTCCCTTGGCGTCTATTTATGAATTTCTTTTCTTTATATATAATGGAGGAGTCGGTGTTCCCTCTGGTTATGATGATATTTCTTTTTAAGTAGTTAACATAAAGACATCTAACTTACTAGATTATTTATTTATTTATTTATGGATTTATATCCTGCCTTTTTCCTCAAAGGGCTCAAGGCAGCTTACATCATTCTCCTCCTCCATCTTATCCCAACCACAACAACCCTGTGAGGTAGGTTGGGCTGAGAGTCTGTGACTGGCCCAAAGTCACCCAGTTGGCTCCGTGGCCGCGCGGGGACTAGAACCCAGGTTGTCTGAGTCCCAGTCCCATGCTCTTAACCACTACACCACTATAAAGGAATTGTGGCAGAAAGTTCTGAAATGGTTTTAGGAAATGCCATTTTAAAGGGGCTGGTTGAGCTTAGCAAATACCCTGTGGCCACATTTCTGACTTTTACCAGAGAGTAAACTGGTAGAATTCTACAAATTAATTTCTTGATACCTCCCTTCATGGTAGCGCACTTGCTTCAGGCCAGACAGTGGTCCTTCTAGTCTTTCCTGTGCACTGGGAGAAAAACTGAGCTGAAATAGTAGTTTGCTGAAAGGCGCACGGAGCGCCTGTTCACTGAATTCCAGGAGCCGATGCAGGCAGAGATGACAAGCGCGTCCTCTGACTCGCGAGTTTGGTTCGTTCTCTGACATCGTAACTTCTGCGCAGGCTTTGCACGCATCTCATGGACGTCTTGCCCTGCTTTTAGCTCAGTCATACACTGCTGGTATCTTGCCTCTTCTGACTCCCTGGTATTACAGAATGTACATGCACTTTGTTCCATAGATAAAATGAGCTCCCAGTGCACGTTTCCTTTGCCGTGCATATAAGCAGCTCCCCGGCATCCCTGCCTGTGCCGGCAGCAGGCGGGACGGTAGTGTCAACAGCCGTATGACCCACGCTGCCTGGCTAGGTGCTTAAAGCCCCCCATGTCCCACAGCTGCATCAGGCCAGACTTCAGGTGCCTGCAGCATGGCTTCCTATCTGCTTCTGTCACTGTATTGATTTTGTTCGTGATAAATCTCTCCCTCTTTTCATCCGCCTTCCGAGACTGAAAGTTAAATAGCTGATTCAACACTAAGTGTGAGCCTATTGTGAATAGAAACAGTAACTTAATTTCCTCTAATTTTCCCAGATGATGCAGCAGAAGAACCCTAACAATGCATGCTGACCATGGACTATAAATCCCTTAACCCAGTAAGGCAGCGTGGATGATAGTTAAGAAAGCTACCCAATTTCATTCCGCTGAAAGTAGCTAATTGGTCTTGGTCACACATCGCCATTGGCAGTCATTGATCCGCATGTTGACAGCCTCATTAAAAACCAAGGATTGAATTGACTGCAAAAGTCTTATCTGGATGCTGGACAGCACTGGGAGAGACCAGCTGGACCATACCAAGGCCTGTCTCGTCCAGCATTCTGTTCCCACAGTGGGCAACCAGATGTCAATGGGAAACCCACACGAAGAACAGAACGTGCCCTTAATGAAGCGGAAGTAACAGTTTGGAAGTGCTGAAAAACCAAACTGATTTCATTCACTTGTAGGTGATAATCCAGCTCTTCCCAAAAGGCAAGCGTATATTTGCCTCTTTCCTATATTTCTGGTCTTCGTTGCCATATTTTTGTGCTACTGGATTGTGTAGACTTAAAAATCATTCTCCTTTCTAGTAGGAAAGATTCTCCTAGATTCCTTAGAACTATCGTTCTAATGCAGACTTCTGTTTAGCTACCTGCCTGCTCATTTACAGGTGACAAGTAACTCCATCTCGGTGGGAGAGCACCCACGTCGCTCCGTCCCTCCTCCACCTGTCTGCAGGGGCTCCCTTTATGGTTGCAAGAGAAAGCAAGCCGCTCCCTTTGCAGCCCGCACAGAAATCACGTTGGCTGGCAGGACTAGGAACGTTGCAATGGCTGATCGCTCCGGCACCATCTCCCTTGGCAGAAAACTTTGGAAAAACCAAGCGGCCTCATGCTCGTTTGTTCAGGGTGCATACTGTTCTGTGAAGGAAAAGGATGTACCTCATTCTCTCTGTTTAGGAAGGGCAACATTTTCGCTTTTATGACAAGGGGGTGTTGAATAAGCCTGTGGACAAGGCTTCAGCCAGTATGAAATTAGAAAACCAGTTTCTACTATGTTGATGGCAGCCGGTATCAAAAGAGTTAATTATGTGTTGCAAGTGCTTTGTATGATTATGATATGATTTCTTCAGTGCTAAGGAACGCAATGTATGCACAAGAAAGGCTTCTGGAGGATGCTCTGGGGAGCAAGGTTTTCTTGAGCAGTCACTGGCGGAGGACCCTCAGAGATTTGCATCAGCTTCCAGACAATCAACCGTTTGCTCTTCCTGAGGGAGGGGGAGCCCCAATCCTCTCGGTCAGATTGAGGATTCTTTTGTAAACCTGTTTTTTTTTTTTTTGAGGAATTCAGCTAAAGGAGGGTTTAGGAAATGGAGTACCACTTGTAATTTTGGGTGGAAAGCTGAATTCCTGCTAGCATGAGGAATATATGGTGTATTTCTCACACTCCACCCTTTTCTCCATGGCTGTAGCCAGGAAACGGGAGTCCTGAGCCAGATTCCAAATGAGTCTGTGACATATTTATAAATTATAAATAACATTCTCTTCAGTCTTTTTTTTTTTTTTTTGCAAGTCTCTGAGTGCTGTTGTTCAAACACCTGCTGCTTTTATGGACTCTGCAAGCCCGCTGGAGGGAACGGGGGGCCGGCTCCCCCCTTGCAGCCAGCGCAGCTCCGTCCTCTCGGATAGTGTGAGGATGTGTCCAGTTCACCCGTGGCCCACTCCGCGACTCTGCTCTCTGTTGACAGCTTATGATGGGCCCATTTTGGGGTTCTGAACATGCAGGAGCCCAGAACGCCATGTTGTTCAGGGACTAGTGAAGTCCGTTTGTTGTAGGTTTACTTATTTATTTTTATTTATTTGGAATTTTTGTATGCCATCCCATTCGTATAAGCCTCGGGACGGCTTCCAACATCATAAAAAAATAAACATACAAATACATACATGTAAGGATAGAAGGATGTGGCTTCTGGCTGAAGGATTTGGTCGGTGACCGTGAGAGGCGCCCAAGAGGCTGGCTAGCTTAGGTCAAGTCATACCATTTGTGCCTCTGGGCCCAGTTTTGCAGCGCCCCTGGGGTGTCAAGCCAGTGTCTTTCCTGTAACCTTCAAGCCCCAGAGATCGAACGTGGAGCTTTCCGGGCCCTTTCCTGCCACTTAGCTGTGCTCCGTTTCTTGGGCCGCCTCGTGCTGATGTGTGATGGACATTGTAACCTAAAGGAACGGGGGCGTGAAGCCTGGCACTCACCCTGGGCTCGGGGGGATTTTGGGATGGTGAAGTGGGAAAGGAGGGGCCCCAGAGTCTGCGCTGTTTCATTTCAGTTGCTCCAAGCTCTCCCTGCTAGGTTTGTTTGTTTGTTTGTTTGTTTTTCGATTTATACCCTGCCTTTTTCCTTCAAAGGGCTCAAGGCAGCTTACAGCCTCCTCCTCCTCTATCCTATCCCCACCACAACAACCCTGTGAGGCAGGCTGGGCCGAGAGCCTGTGCCTGGCCCAGAGTCCCCCAGTGGGCTCCATGGCCGAGCGGGGACTCGCACCCGGATCGCCTGAGTCCCAGTCCCGTGCTCTTCACCACCACACCGCCCTGGCTCTCTCAAGGTTGCTCGCCTCAAGGGGGGGACTAGGCCTGCATTCTGGCCGCCCACCATTTTGTCCATGCGGCTTGGCCCCTTGGCCCAGGCTGGAGAAGGCCGCAGCTGCGCCTGGCACCTCGCACAGCCCCGTGAGGAGTTCTGGCCATGCGTTCCTAGTTGGACTTGCTCGGCCAGCTCCTGGGGGGATTCTTCCCAGAGAAATGAGGCTGTGGCTGCCTCATGTGTCCCCGTTCCATTTCACTCTATTTTCGGCCTTGAAATAAATGCTGCAGAAGCAGGGGGAAATTTGCAGCTTCCAGAGTTGTATTAGGCTTTTCCCCTGCTGTGCTGTACATCATTAAAATGATGTACAGTGTGACATTTTTCACTGATGGGAGACATCTCAATTTTTCTTCCCTATCTCATCTGAGTGCTAGACCTCTCTCCCTCTTTTATTTCTGAGGTGCTGATTGCGGAGCGCCGGTGCTTTTGAAAGCCCTGGTTTTCTTTTGTTATTTCTCAAGGCCATGATCAAATGTGTAGTGCTCTTTGTACTGAGTGTTTGTTAGTGGTGGCTTTTTTGTAGTTACAGGGCAACATCACAGCACTGCTGCCAGCAGTTTTCTAAAGGTTGTGGATTGAGCTGCTTTAATCTTGAACCATAATTTGCTGTGGCTTTAACTTTGCATATGCCCATTTTCAAATTTTTCATATGCCTCGTGTTTCACAGCACATGGCAAACTGTGTCACCTCTTTTATGTCCCCTTGTCAAGGAACTTGAATGTATTTTATTCATTGAAGTCAATGATATTTGTAAATAACTCTCAATATTAAAAGTGCTGCTGATTTGTTTCTTGCGCACATACCCAGTGCAGGAAAATACATAAATTACTATATATTGAACTGAATGCACAGATCGCACTTAGGCTGATGAGTGGTTTCTCCATTAGGGAGGGTTAAGTTTTGGTTACTTGGTTTATTTCTGTAATGTACTGTGTCACCTTTGGGAGAACGGTTCTTCTCTGAGGTGCTGGTCCAAAAACAGTCTGGTCTGTCTTTGACTTCTCTTGTTGGAAGCCAGCATTGTTCCGAATATCCTCCTGTCACTCGTGCTTGAGTGGAGGAAGTTGTATGGAAACAGACTAAACAGGAAGCGATCATTTTCAGTTAGGAAGGGGGCATAGACAATGGCGAGGGGGAAGAGGGAGAAGTTTCCTGAGGTTACATGGTTCCACAGATGTCTTCAAGGGAAGCCAGCTCGCTCCTAGCCAGTGACCCCAAAATAACAAAGCACCTGCCCTCGTATAATGCTTATCAAGCTGGAAGCCTCCTTCCAATTGAGTCATACACCACATTGTGACTTTTCAATTCTTACAGTGTGTCCATCTTCCACAGGTTTCCTGTCAACTTCCTCATCTGGCAAGAATGTTGTGAACTATTTTTGAGATGGGGTGTAATCACCGCTTTCTTCTTGAACTTATCTCAGAACTGACAAAGGTCGTCTTAAAAATACTGATATTAAGGGCTTCCATCACTTTCAGAATTCTCTCTCGGGGGAGAGCTTGCAAAAGCTCCCCCATCACGGGGTGGCAATAGCATCTTCAGGCAAATTCCAGGGCTGAGAAGATATTAATGAGGGATTACCTTGCCTCTTAGCCCTCTCTTTCAGTTTTTTAATATCTGGTTACCAAAGGTCAACCAACATATATCCAAGGAGACCATGACGGAATCATGCTTTTGCCCAAATGCAGCTGAGTGAGGGTGTATGTGGATTTTTTTTTAATTTATTTAGAATTTTTGTACGCCGTCCCATCGCATAGCCTCGGGACGGCTTACATAAAATAAATAAACATAATACAAATAGTATAAATAAAATCCAGATTCACCCTGGCTGCAGATTAAAACCTATAGATGATATTAAAAGTTGTTAATATATTGTTTAAATAAAAAGGTCTTAGCCTGGCACCGAAAAACAAATAACGAAGGCGCCAGGCAGACCTCTCTGGGGAGCGCATTCCACAGATGGGGCGCCACCGCAGAGAAGGCCCTCCTCCGGGTACTTTGCCTCCTGATGTCTCTCACGGAGGGCTCCCGGAGGAGGGCCTCTGCTGCTGATCTCGGGGCGGGAGGGGATATATGGATGTAAGCGCTCCTTTGGGTAACCAGGCCCCAAGCCATTAAGGGCTATATAGGTGATAACCAGCACCTTGAATTGAGCCCAGACTTCAATGGGGAGCCAGTGAAGCTGGTAGAGGACTGGGGTTATGTGAGAATAATGCCCAGTCCCTGTCAGCAACCTGGCTGCTCTATGTTGCACCATCTGAAGCATCCGGACTGTCTTCAAGGGCAGCCCCACATAGAGCGTGTTACAGAAATCCAACCGGGAAGTAACCTGTGCATGTCGCTGTCGCCAGGCAATCGTCCTCAATTGAGGCTATACTATGGGAAGCGCCCTACCATGTGATTGCCATCCTGTGTGTTATGCCTGGGTGGTTTGTGCTCTGTGGTGAAAAGCTCAGGAGCAAAAATTGCGGGGGTTCCCCCTCCTCATTGCGCTGGAGCCCAAACCCAGATCGCCCCCTTCCTTGGCAAAAGCAGGTCTGAGGGAGAGCTGTTTGCATGTTCTCCTCATGGCGTAAGAGGCTGCTCTTTCTGGGACATGCCTCCAATAGCTGAGCCGCACAAGAGCGGAAGAAGACCGGGCCTCAGAGCTTGGCTTGACCTGTGGCGTTACGTTCTCGTAACTGTCGCTCTATACAGTTTTTGGCACATCACTGCTTGAGAATAAGACCTGCTGAGAGCAGAACAACGTACTTGCTATTCTTTATCCATTACGAGAAAGGAATACTGGTTTCATAGCACTCTTTCCCGAGTTTGCATCCTAATCCGAGGGGTGAAATGCAGAATGTTCCTTGTTAGGGTTCTGTTGATTTTTTGTTCTGTTCTAGTCTCTGTGGCAATCAGGTGTAAAAGGTACTCTGGGTGCAGACGTTTGTCGCAATTAACCTGTTATGTGTAGGGTTTGCTGTGACAGGCTGTGCATTACCTTTCAGTTTAACATTGAGTCAGTCTCTGTATCCGTATTTATATCAAAACACTGTATGTAGTCATATGCATTCACATTAGATCTATGTAGCAATAGCAAGTATTACAATTTGAGCCTGTATTTGTATTTAGCAATATAGTTTGTATTTGCTTTACCAGTCAACTGATTTTAAAGTTAAATCTGAGCTCTTTTTTTTAACCTTTTGGTGACTTTGATGCAGCCTCATTAAATCCATCGCTTCCTGATTTATAGCTTTGTAAGTGTCTGACTCTATTAATTCTTTTCTGCAGAAACCAAAGCCTAAGCCTCGGCCATCTATCACGAAGACTACATGGGAGAGCAACTATTTTGGGGTGCCTTTGATCACTGTAGTGACACCAGAGAAACCCATTCCCATTTTTATTGAGAGATGTATTGAGTACATTGAAGCAACAGGTAAGCTTTCTGTATAGCAACAGGTGGCAGGTAAACACTAAGATCCTAGGGCAGAATCAGTTGGGTTATCTCCCTAATTAGCACATTTCAAACAATGAGGTATTAGTAAAAGTGTATATTGCTCCATTTGTACAGGCAGGCAGAGGTGGGAAATACAGAAGCGCTGAATACTCCTGTGTGCATCCTTTTTGGAGGAATGGCTTGTATAGTTTACCGTTATAGTATACCTATAGCTTAGCTTTGAAGGAAAGGTTGATTCAATGTTATCTCCGTTGTGGATCGTACTTTGGTTTAAAGGACATTTATTCATTTATTATTTATTTAACACTCTTATATATGCTGTCACCACATGCCTTGGCATCTCAAGACGGCTCACAAACGTACAATTAAAGCAATAACAAATTACATAAAATTATATAAAAACAAAAGAGCGACTGTTAACGATAAAATATTAATTTTTAAAACAGCAATTAAATAAAAAGGTTTTAACCTGGCGCCGAAAAGAATATAAACTCGGCGCCAGGCACACCTCTTGAAGGAGCGCATTCCGTAATCTTTTGATGTCACAGAGCACATGGCTTCTTTAAAAAGGGCCCCCCAAAACCATAACTGTACTCAGAATTTCTTTGAGGAAGTTCTGGAACATGATTGTACTAAACATTTTTTAAACGTGGCCTTTTCTCACCTGTATTCATAGCCATCACCTTTTTTTAAGTTAAAGACTGAATGTTTCACAGATTAGCATCGACAGAGAAAGAAACGGTCTTTGTTCAGCAGTTTTTTTAACTTAATGCCATCTAAGCTTAAGCAGGTCTGTGGGTGAATTACATGTTACTTCAGTTTGTTTTCTGGTAGGCTGAATTTTCAGTAACATCTAATCTCTTTGTTTAAATCTTCATATCCTAGTTGCTGCCAAAACATAATGTATTTCTCACTCCAGAGTAGGTCATCAAAAGTGTAATAACACGATACTGATGGTTTTGTTTTATCAGGTGTAGAGAAATAACTATATTCGTATGGAATGTCAAAATGAATTCCTTCTTAGAATGAATTAATTCTAATGAATTAATTAATTACATTTCTATTCCACTCAATAGCTCATCTCTATTTTGAGCAACTAACATCTGTAGTTCCTTGCGAGGAGAAACTTTAAGGACTCTCCATCTCTTACTGTGGCTTAGCTTCTGCATCTAAGAATGTTGTGATACAGTTTTTTGTACAGTTCCATTTTGCTCTGAGTGTTAAGTGAATTTTGACTTCATTGCTGATTTTCGCCTCTGCCGCTTGCTTTTAGCCTCCTTCAATAATTCATAGTGTATGATTGGTTTTTTCAGTGAAATGGCAAGTATACAAAAAAATCATATTCCTTTGATCTTATGTTTTATGGGATAGTAACTTGAATTCTGTTTGCAAGAGAAAGGAGCTTGCTCTGCATTGTGAAACTGGGGTTTTCTATTCTTAAAGATAAATCAGAAAGTCTAATCTTAGAGAGAGATTAGACGTTCCTTCTGTCTGCAAAAAGCTAGTGTAGTGTAGATAGGCCGAGTAAAAATATATCTGTTCCATTAAGCAACACATCCCAAGCAATGATGGGAAAACTTTTGCTGTGCAACACATTTATTTTAAAAAGATTCTCTCACACAAGTGGACTGACATGTTCCTTCTCTGCTTAAAGGGAACTCAAACCTTACGACAGCATTGCCGGCAATTCATCTTAGTGGCAAACCTATTTCAAACATCCTAAGTATTTTTAGGAGAGCCGTCTTCCCAGAAACAGGTCCAGATAAAATTTGCTAACAGTGGATTTGAATTGTACTATTTGACATACCCATAAAGGGAAATCATATATACCAAAAGCAAACTCATTTTCTGTGTGCAAATTCTTATGTAGTCCAAAAGGCACCATCCACATACAAGCGATAGGCATCGCCAGACACGGGAATTCCAGGTTTTTCAGACGCAAGAGGAACAAAACAGCTTAGGAGGGGGAGAGAACAAGAGAACACCAAAACTGTCTGATGAGGACTGAACATGCTTAGAGGACCTGGAATATTAGTTTATTTGTTTTGGCAGGAAAAGGGGAAATGGAGTATCTGTGGAATGTGCCTGTTCAGGAATTTGGTCAGGTCCTACTTAAGGATAGAAAAATGTATATTGGATACACATGGATCCTGTTTGCATGATCATAGATCGTTGAGTTTGTTGTCCTGAATTGGCAGCCCCTGTAACCACAGGGTGGCTCTCCTTGCTTCTTTGCTCTCCTTATTTATTTGGCTTCACAGTCTCTTGGATAATTAGCTGCTTTCTTGGAATGGAAAACTGTGTTCCTCTGTGCTTAATTGTGATAATGATGGTGTTAGCACACTAAAAATTAAGTCAGGAGCTCCTAATCAGGCTTTCCTGCTTTGCTTCTGTCTCACTTCGATCTCTGACTTAAAAGCTGCTGGCACTGGAGCAAAATGAAAGATTTGCACCATGGCTTGTTCTGGATTTCCTGAGCAGATCACAGCGCTCCATTCGGCAACGGAAAGTCTCCCGTCACCTTCACAGCTGAGGTTGCACAGGCCTCTTTACGTGAGATGCCCAGGTCATCAGAGATAGCAGGTGGAGCGCAGTGGTCAGCGTCCCCAGAATAAGTTTCAGTGCCTTTAAGGGGCCACCTGGGATGTGGTTCCTGCTGCAGCCTCAGCAGCAGCTGAGTGGACACCCAGCACGGCTTCTTCTAAGAGAGCTCAGTCAGGGCTCCGGTGAACAAATCTCCAAATGAAAGGAATGTTTGCATACATGTTGAACCAGCTACCGAGATCTTGATTTCTGGGTGAGTTAAAAAGCATTCCTCTATGGTGTGGAAAAGAAAATGCCAAATCCTAACTGATACGCCCCTTCTACAAACTGAAAGGATTCATCCACGTTGCTACTAAACGTTGACTTAAACTATTGACTAAAAATGCTTCATGTGCTGCTTTCTGTCCTGGCAGGATGTGAATTTGGCATTTTAGGCTGTTCTGTGGATATCACGACTATATTGCCTTTTCTCTAAGTTATGCATAGATGTCCTGGGTGTTGAAATGTCAAAAGAATTCTAGGTGCCTGCCTTGTACATAAAAGCAGTGTCTGTTTTTCTTGCTAACTCCTCCTCCTCGTGTCTTGTGAGATCAGAAAGATGATCCATGTTACATGGAAAGCTGCTGCTTTCAGTTGCCTCTAACGTATTTGGCAGTAATACATTCAGACAGTATGGTATAAATAGCTACAAGAACAAGGCTTTTTTAGCGTTTCTGTGACTTGTTGTCCGAGTAGGACGAAATGCCCTGTAGATAGCATCACAATTCTTTCTCTTCTAATGCAGAATTCCAAATAGTCTCCTTTTTCCTGTGAAAGAGACCCATCTTTTGACAGGTTTCATTGCTTGGAGCCCAGCCAGTGGAGGAATAGCAGAGTGAGAGCCTGGCAAAACTATTTTGAATTCTTAGGCATTGCTTTCCTATTTGTGGAAAACAGCTTGAGCTCTTGGGGCACCCGTTCTCCAGCGGCTGAACAAATACTCCACATTCCTGGGTGTCAGCACAGAATCTAGAATTGTCCAGGCTGTCTCCGGGTGTCGGGATTTTCCTCTCCGGGCACGTGCAGCAGGGAGAACGCAAGGCTTATTGCTTGGACCATAGAACTCTGCCAGAAGGAGCGCCAGCATGTTAACTGTGCCAGTCTGGGGCGCAGGAGACCCGGGTTCTGGTCCCCGCCATGCCATGACGCTCATCGTGTGACTTCAGGCCGGCCACAGATTCTCAGCCTGAGTCTGCCTCGCACGCTTCTGCAAGAACTCTTCCTCATCTTGCACCCTGGCCGAAGACCCTGGGCGTGATCCGAGGGGGACTGCCAGTTCCATCAGGGCCTTGCGCCGCTGTAACCTGGCCCAGCTCATCGCGCCCTACGCTCTCCTCTAGCGTCACACTGCAGGGGAAGATGGGCACTGATGCTCGAGCTGCTTTTCCAGGAAGGTCGTCAGCCACTTTTAAGAGAACCCCAGTGTAACATGACGCTTTAGGGTTCCTTGAAATGCTGATGGAAACTACTTTATCTGGTTAAGACGTGGCGCTTGAGGCATCCCGGGTGATAACAGTGATCAGACTGAACATGGCACGTGGATCAGGAGCTGCGGGTTCGTTTCCTTTTCAGCCATTATGCTTATTTTATGGGTTTGTGGTGAAGATACGGGGTTGGGGAGAAGCGTGTGCCCTGTTTCAAGCTTATTGGAGGAGGGGTGGGATAGTGATAAAAATAATATTTAAACCTCTTGCACCTGAGTTGTTTAGAGTAAAAAATCGAATGGCTGTTTTTCAGTGATGGCTTAAAGCTAATTCACTAGTTAAAACCCCACCTCATCTGAGCGCCTTCCAAGCTTCATTCCTCATCAGCTCACCTGTTTGCTGCATCAATAATTGACGTATAATGTGCCTAACTGTGGAAGTTCAAACGGAATGCAGATCTTTTTATCCCCTACAGCAACAGTGGATGCAATTGGATAACATCTGTGGACTGTATTAATATTTAATTTCCAGCCAGGTTGATCTTGAAGCCTGAAAAGAAATTCTTGCATATGTCTGTCCCCTTAGGATAAATGCTCGATGAACCTTGGGGCTGGAGCTGCTGAGCTTTGTGGGTGCACGAGAGGTCCGCTCATTTACAGCGAGAGTGAACAGGCCGGGTCCGCCGCTGCGTGGCCCTCGGTGTTCACTTCGGGGGCACTCCTGTGCTAGGTTAGGCAGAAAGGAGGGCCCTGTTTTCGTCCTGACGTTGCACCGGAGAATGCTGCTAGCTTTCCTGCATAGTCCCCATCCCTCCTTATAAGGAGGGATCTTGGCTGTGGTATCGCGTTGTGGTATGAGTGGTATTTGTTTGTGGCTTTGTGTGGTTACTTGTTGAAGCAGCTTGTTCCCTGGTGGCTGGCAGTGCCGCTTTGTTACCCTGCCCACTTAGGAACGATGTTCCCGGTCTCTAGTAACGACCCAGAAGTTCTTGTCAGGGTGAAATACGGGTAAACATTCTGGTTATTGTAGCAGGTTGGATGCAGCAATGCAACTATTTATTTTAATGCCCAGGCTTCAGTTTCTAGAACTGCCACTGGCAGGAGATAAAGATCGTCTTTGTTACTGGGAAATAGACATTTCCCAGAGAACATGGAAACCTGAAGTTGTAGATAAATGGCTGCATTAGAGCTGTGTGTGTGTCTGCGTCGCTCAGTTCATTAGTAGTGAGGAAAATATTGAAACTGGATCAGTGTCTGAAGAAGCCTGAAACCAGATGTGTCAGTTGAGGGAAGCTGTCAAGCTCTTTGTCCATCTAGCCCAGTCTTTCCTGCTCCAGCTGGCAGCACCGCCTCGTGGCCTCAGGCAAATGAAGGCCTCTCCCAGCACCGCCACCTGATCCTATGAAATGGAGGTGCTGGGGATTGATCCCGGGGCGCTCCATATGCGGAACATGCTCTTGCCACCAAGCCAGGGCTCCCCACTCCTCTTCCTCGGAAGGCTGTGCTCCGTGGTTGTTTCTCAGCTAAATTGTGAATGGCAGATACTGCTGTTTAGTGTAGCGTTTTCTGCACAATCTGGACTTGCGGTAACAGGGATGTTCATTTCTTGCCACCCCCAGCCCCAAATTTGAAAGCCCCGGTATTTTCCATTTAACTCACTCAGAAAGTTGTCTTTTGAACTTGACTTCCTGGTTTGTTTTCAGTGACTATTAGCTTGAGGAGTGAGATTGTCTTTAGCAATTAGGCAGATGTGAGATTAGCCCTGTGGGATCCAGAATGCTGGATGTGAGAGGCCTTTTGTCCGCTCGGATGCTGCTGCTGTCAGGTTGCGCACATCACATTTCAAAGTATTACCTAAACAATCTTGCATGTGGTTTAATATCGTTGGATGAAAACAAGGTTGTGTAGGACATGAGCAGGCTATCACTGTCTTTACAAAATGTCAGCATACAATTCCCCATTCTTAAAATGAACCTAATGTGGATGAGGAGGTACAGATAAAGAGCACCAGGAAGGAGAAAGACACCGTTCCTTATTTCAAGGAACACTGTACTTGCCCTTTCTATAGCAGAAGCCTCTGGGCAGCTCCGCTGGAGCTTTTCCTCGGGATGAGCGGGATATATCGGTTTGCACAGGAAGCCACTGGGGAATCCGCAAACATGTTCTGCGTAATGCATTTATTCTGTCAGGATTAAAGAGATCGCTTTCTGCTGTTTGCAGACATGGCATGAAGTTTGTATCTGGAAAAACCTTTTGCAGTGGTCGTGCAGCAGATTCAGAGAAGCAGAAGCCCATCTGCTTTAGGGGAGAGAGCTCTGGCAGGGTGTCTTTCTGATGCTGGCGGGGGCGTTCTCAGCTTCAGGGCCGCTGCGGGGGGCTTTCAGCAAGCAAGCAAGCAGCCCTTGCTCCTTCTGGTCAGTCTGGAGGACCTTCCCTGCCGGAATGTTACATCGGGAGGGAGCGATGCGTTCCTTGGGTTTTCTGGGACTTCGAGGCAGCAGCAGGGTGCAGTTCCTCATTAAATATCCCAGCTGTGATTCCAGTGCTTCCGCCAGTTTATCTTGCGTTGGGTGTGCACGTGTGTTCGTGTTCATTTGTGGATCTCAGTGCTACCAGCTGTGCCATTACCATTCTAACTGGCATTTCTCCGATGTTCTGCGTTCTCGTGGTTCTCTCTCTCATCAGGTTCATAGGGCCTGCTTGTTCTGGCATTATTCAAAATAGCAAACCCAGTATTAGCAGAATGAATGATGTGTCAGGACCGGAAAGCATGTTCCCCAGCGTCACCATATAGTGGTGGGGCTCCAGGCTGGAGGTGAGCAGTGAAGCTGGGTGGGGGTTAATCCTCCTTACCCCCATTGAAGTGGCACCCCACCCCCAGCAGCTGATTACCCGCACTGGGGCCTTGGGGCACACAGGATCCCACTGAGAGTCCCCTTTAAGTAAATATTAAACGATGTGGAAACTGGGTTGCGGATTCTCTGCCTGATGCCCGTGTCCCGAGTGAACCGATCGCGGGTCGCCGTTGCCACTTTGCTTGCTGCTTATGTCAGACCTGCTTCTTGGGTTCGTGCCACCTGGGGCGCTTAGATAAACCTGACAGTGACCGGAGCTTATCTCTTCCACTCTACAACGCATGGCTTCTTCGTGTTCCTTTCCGGCTTTGTTTTGGCACTCGCACCCGCCTATTATAAGGCGCTCACATGCTGTTCGTAGCATATGAAGCCCAGCTAGTTCTGTGCATGGCCGGCGCTGGTGTAAAACAGGATTTTATAACATAAACATGGAAGTGGATTGCAGGAACTATTGAGCCGTTATTAAACATGGTTGCTTCTGTGTGGTGAAGTCAAGTGGCTTTGACAATGGAGTCGCATTCCTCGCGGCTCGCTGCACGGGTCGTGAGCCACCGTCGGCTCGCGTTGCTCTCGGCTCGGGGGCGGCCGATGTGTTTGTGTCCGTGTGGCTGATGGTGCAGAGGAGAAATAGCGTAGCCGCAGACCTGTGAGACGCACTTGACATTTCCAGGGCGGGCGCAGTGAAAGGGATGGCTCTTGCGAAGGTACCTTACAGACCCCGCCTCCCAAGGCATTGTTTCGTCGCTCGGTACACCTTTGCGTGGTCGAGCTTTTCAGGGCAAAACTGCTTTTGTATCTCACCTTGGACGTTGTGCCGTGCTTCAGGCAGGCACGTCCCCCATAGTTCCGTGGCACCCGTGCTCCCACCGCGGGAACGAGGCCGGCTTTGCTCGGTGCGGTGCGGCAGGGAGCATCTGGGGTCAGGCTCGCGACCCAGAGCGCCGAGTGAGCCTGGCGCGGCTTAATGACTGCGCGGGGTGTTCAAGCGGCCCTCCGTGTCGCTCGCTGGCACCTTTCTTCTCCTCCTGGTTTGCACACTTGCCTTTTGAGGCTCCGCCTGGGCCGTGTTGCGCGTGGAAAAGGAGCCAGCGTGGGGAGGTGCCTCGCCGGCCAGCGATTGTCGCAGAGGTGTCGCCGTGGTTGGCTCCGAGACATCCCGGGGACAAGGAACCACCGGGGAGCCCCAGGAAATGTGGCAGCCTGCCGTACGTCTCGGACTACAGGCAGCCCGGAAGTTCCTGTAGGTGGTTATGCCTTTGGGGCAGCCCAGCCCTGCTAGATCAGCACGTGGGAATTGAACCTGAAAAGGCACGATGAGAGAGAAGCTTTTTCGGTACTGGACCCGGCTGACTAGATTGCAGTTTCTCAGGTAAAAAATACACAGATGGCTGGAACCTCGGAGCGTTCCCCTGCGACGGCCTTAAATGCCAGGGCCTTGGGCAAGAGGCTTGGGCAGGAGAACGTCCGGGTGCCGGAGGACCCCGCTCCGGCACCCTCGGTGGTGGCCAGAGGCACCAGCACCCCTCGCCCGGCGGCCAGGGCTGCCTCTGAGCAGGCGGCAGGGCACTGCGGGTACTTTGTGTGTCTGTGCTTAATGTACCCTGTATCATCCATTGACAAGTTTGCTCGGACTTGAGGCCGAGGGAAGACAGATGACAGCAGCGGCAGCTGCTCCACTCCTCTCCCCGGTGCCTGGGCACAGTGGCTCTTTTGTTCAAGGCTTGGGATTATACGGCCCTTTGGGCTGGTCCATTAACCCAGTTTCCCTCCCCGATGAGGTGAATTGCTTTCTATGAAATGAGGTCCCTGTGCAGGCAGCCTCTGTGGCAATTAGAGCTTTTAAGCTGTGCAGTTGATGACCTGTACTCTGAATAAATGCCGTGCTCTCCAGAGCCACCTCTCATCAATCTACCCTGGACGAAGAGGCGGGCCAGCCTCCGCTTTTACCGCGCCAAATACGGGCTTTGTAGAACGCGGCAATTAAAACAATTGCTAAATTGAGACGCCCTGCTCCCATCCCCAGCCTATAGATTCACCGAAGAAAGCCTCCCTCCTAATGAGGGCAGCCACCTTTGCCCTCTCATGTCTCACCCTTTAAAAAGTTATTTATTTATTTGCAAAATGTACATAGCATGCTACATCCAGTAAATTTCCAAGGTGGTAAACCATGTAAAGGAAGGCGAGGGGAGGAATTAAAATGCAGAGTTTAAAATGTGTTCAGTCGGATTGTGCTAATACAACTGTGGCTGAAAGTCAGCGTCTTGCTTAAGTAAAAATATCTTCAGCAAGCACCACGGCAAAGCTGGGCATCCAGAAAACAAAAATCACGACTGCAGAAGAGCTACGCGTTGTAAGCCGTCCCAAGATGCCGAGGCATGTGGTGACAGCATATAAAAGTTCTAAATGCATACATTATATACTGCTGTCAACAGTAAGGAAACAAATTGTGAAAGAGTTTTCATGCCTTGGCTCAGTTAATTCATAGCGAAACTGCAGCCAAGAAATTTGGAGGGGACTTGGAAGGGCAGCGAGGAAGGGACTAGAAAAGATGCTAGGATCTTAAGGCCAGCATCATCCTCACTCTCGTATTCCAGTCACTGTGGGTGGGTGAGAAAGCTGGACGGGGAAAGAAGCGGACAGGATGCGTTCGAGGCCTGGTGCTGGAGGAGAGCTTTGCAGGTGGCCTGGACCAACGGAGAGGCGAACGAGGGGCCCCCAGAGCAAATCAGGCCGGTGCTTTCCCTGGAAGCAAAATGACAAAACCGAGGCTGTCCTACTTTGGCCATAACAGGAGGAGCTCCCTGCTCAAGCTCTGCCTGTATATTCCTTTTTAGCAAATTAAAATGTAGAAGCAGAGGGGCTTAGCAGGAAGTGAAAAAGCGAGCCAGCTGTGCCATTCTTCTACCTCTCTTGATACTTCAAATGTTTACAACCGTGTGCATTTAGTATGAAACACTAGGCCATATTTTCCTAACTTTTTGTCATGTGAACGTCCACACAGTCTTTGCTTTTCAAGGCAACAATCTTGAGCACATTTTCTGTTGCTCAGGATCTCGTATCTGCTGTTACGGCTTTTAGATTTCCTCCATCATCGTTTGCTTATTTATCTCGCCAGGGCTGGGGACTGAAGGTATTTACCGGGTGAGTGGAAACAAATCGGAAATGGAAAGTTTACAGCGGCAGTTCGATCAAGGTAAGACCCATTTCTTCCATGCTTCCTCGAATATCGTGAATCAGCACATGTATATTTCTGGACATATTCAGACACCTGTATTTTTGTGTTAATTCTGTTCAAATAAGTGTTGGCACAACGAAATAGGACCTCACAGTTTGCAAACGGACTTTGCAAAATTTTTGATGGAGCAGCCCATCTGCTACGGCTTCAGTATCTGAATTGCAGAAAATTCCATTGGCTTGGGGGCCAGGGGGAGTGAATCCTCACACACACACACACACACACACACACACACTGGAAGTAAGGAGCCCCATCAGTGTAGTTGTTCCAGCAAGAAGGTGCCACTAGCAGCATTCCTTGCACCCGTGGCTGTAAGGCCCTGGAGCGGGGTGGGCGCAAGGCCGTTTCCTCACACGTGCGCCTGAGCAAGCCAGCAAAGGGGGATCTGCTGCTCCACTGCCCGAGCGAGGCCCACCTGAGTGCTCTCTGAGTAGGCACTTTATTTCCAGATGCTGGAAATGCTGAACATGCCATTTCCACCCAGCTCCTAACTCACCTCACACCCCACACATCTGTTCAGCGCCGCTACACCCCACTCGTCAGCGCAGCTCTCCAGCGAGGGCCTCGGCACCAGGAGCGCACAGGGCGGTAGACCCACCCGCCGTCTTTTCCACCCCGTGAAAGAAGCCGGCCTCTGATCTTGGCAAATGAGCTGCACCCGGGCACCCTCTGAATTTGGGCAGAGGTGAGGGGGGAACCGCCCCCCCCGTGGGCTCCAGAGTCCTGTTAGAGCCTCATGCTGCCCCCGCACTTGAGCTCAGCAGGGGGAGACCCCTGACAGCAGGGGGAGACCCCCTGAAGGCCCCCGAGAACTGAACTGGGACGTGGTGCAGAAGGGGGCACAGCAGCACACTGCCCCCCCTGCCAGGAGGCGGGCGGCGAGGGGAGAACCGGCTGCGCGGGCCTGTCCCAGCATCCAGCGGCCCCCCAGACAGCTGGCTCTGCCTCCCAGGGCTTGCGCTGGGTGGCATAGCTGGCAGGAAGTGCGGGTTGAGGAGGTGGGGGGTCCTGCCAGTGCCCCCCTTTGAGGTCGCTAACCGAAACCAGCCCAAGTCTGTGGACCCTTGGACGAGGGCCCTTCCCCTTTCAGTTGCTGTTGGTGAGATCCTCGGGAGAGTAAGCGCCGGGACTTCAGCCAGATTCCCGTGCATCGCCTGCCTCCTTGCGGCAGCTGGGCGGCTGCGGCTGGCGAGGCGCCGCCATGACATGGCTCTCCTTGCAGATCACAGTCTGGATCTCGCTGAGAAGGATTTCACTGTGAACGCGGTTGGCGGGGCCATGAAGAGCTTCTTCTCGGAACTGCCCGATCCCCTGGTTCCTTACAACATGCAGACGGAGCTGGTGGAGGCTCACAGTGAGTATGTGCCGATCCGTGAGGAGAGGCGTGGTTTTGACGGTCTTCGTGGACCTCCCGGCTGCTCGCCCTGTTTGTGGCAGGGGCACGCAGTAATCTTCTTCTACAGACCTTGGCTATTATGGCGCAAACACAGGTTGAACAACCCCAAGTTAACCAGTTTAGATTACCTCTGCATTGTTTAACCCCCCAATTAACCCGTCGTGCCTCGATTTGCAGGAGATGGTGAGCGTGGCAGTTGTTGCGTGTTCGGAATGTTTGTGGCATGCAGCCGCGGCGGGTTGTGAAGAGCCTGTGAGTTGTGGCTGTTCTGTGCGAGCGGACCGCACATGCCAAGGTTTTGTGCACATCTGCTCTTTAACAGAGTTCTCTGCAAGGCCCAGAACTCACCCCCGAGTTTTGCCTCCCTTGGAATTCCAGACTGTCGCTTACAAAAACGCCTGTGCTGCCTCAGATCGGTGTCTGCATTTCCAGCCCCTGCGCTCAGGCCTCTGAGTTTGTCTGTGGCCGGTTTTTTTGGCTCAAGGGAAATGGGGCAAGACGGATGATCTGAGCAGCGTCTCCCATGAATCAGTTGAGTTCTGAGACCTGGGCCCGTTTGTGGCGTGCGCTGCCCCCCGCCAGGTGCAGTTGCGATTCAGCCTCGAAGGGGGACTTGCACTGGAAGGGGAAAAAACCAAGGAGATTTTGCAGGTGGGCGCTTCTGATGCACACGGCCCTCCAGCCCCCAGGCATTTGATAGTAGCGCATCCATGCGCAACACGTTTTCCGTTCTGGCTGCACTGGAGGCACCTTACAGAAGCTCCGTGTGCACAAAGGGAAAGATCTAGAACCCTCTCAGCACTGGCTGCTTCTCTGACGCTGTGCCTGCTTTTTTTTCCAATCACAGATGAAGCTGGAAAAGGTCCAGCTGGGAACTACAAAGATGCCAGATTAAAATGAGGAAGCTGGGGGAAGAGGGTGCTCTTGGAGGGACTGATAAAAGTGTTCCAATATTTGACAGGCAGCAGCCTTTATAAGCACGGAAATCACAGGCAGCAGAAGCCCTGCGAAAGCAGATTCGACCAGTTCTGTTCATTAAAACTTCCTTTGATTTAACCTGTGGCTAGCCAAAATGACTTACAGTTTTATGAATTGTTAGGGAAATAAATAAATATTATTCTCCCCACCCACCCACCCAAGAAAAACTCCTCTTCAGAAGAACTGAAGTCGTTTCTTCTGACAGGTTTATTTAAATAAGTTATTTTTAAACACACTTTTTCTGGAGGGATGTAATGAACAGATGTGCCTCTGGCTATAGTGCCATCTAGAGGCAAAAAAGAAAAAAGAAAAACCGCGTGGAAAATAAAATCCATTGTGTGTGCAAATTGCTGAGGTAGCATCTTTTGGGTTTTAATTTTTCTAATGATTTTGATTTTTAAAAAATCAAATTACTTCAGCTCGTCACAGCTTTTAATATCTGTTGGCATAGAATGAAAGCATGTGTAGCTTTTTCCTGGCAGAAGGAGGCGTATCATGAAACGGAGCGAAGTAGCTGCTTCGTGACCCACCTTGCCCCGCATGGCAACCCCCTGCAGCTGAATTTGTCAGCAGGACTTCCATGCAGCCCAGTGGGCAACGCTCTCTGGGCAGTTTGCGGAAACACACAAAATACAGTGTCACGAACAGACCGCACCAAGAACGTCAGAGATCGCCTCACCACATTGAAAACCACGCTCAAAACAAATGTTAAAAAGCTGCAGTGGTGTATGCAGATTAAATTGCAAAGCCCCAAATGAGAGTCACCTGATGGATCGCTCTGTGGTGGAGGACAGCCGGGCACCAAAAAAGATGCTGCAGTTGGCAGCAGACAGACCTCAGCTGGGAACTTGTTCCGTCCCCAGAGGCCACTGCTGAAAAGGCCCTTCTTGTTGCCACCAACTACGGCTCCCTTGGAGGCAGTAGTCAGGGGCAGGGCTGGATCTCGAGCATCCCACCTGGGAGATCGCAGGCAGGAGAGGTGCTCCAGCGGGTATCGCAGTCCCAAGCCCTGGAGGGCCTTTTAGCTCGAACTGGGCTCAGAAACATACAAGGCTAGGCAGCCATCAGTTAACAGCTGGCTTATTTTAGACTTATTTGAAAGTTGACCAGTCTTCAGACAACCCCTGCCACCTGGGTTTGGGTGATGCAAACTGCTGTGGGAAGCCAGGCAGCCCTGGGCACCAGGCAGAAGCAGCCCTGGGGCACGGCAGCGGCCCCCAGCAGGTAAACTGAGCCCCAGCAGGCTGTGAGGTGTGCTGGGCACCATGAAGGGCTGCCAGGTGTGGGAAGAGCAGATCCGAGCAAAGGGGCCACTCCCCCAGGAGCAGTTCCTGCTCAGAGTTCTAAGGAACTAATGGGTACAAATTTGACCCTGCTGAGAACAGTTGCTGCCTGCCTAGCCAGGGTCAATTCCAGGGTGGTGAGCAAGTTTTTATTTTCATAGGATGCATGGAGCTTGCTGGGATTTTTAAAAGCTGCTTTGGACAATATTTGGCAGAGCAGAAGGCAAGCAATTAAACCCTTCAGAAGGTGTAATTGTGGAAAGCAGCGGCCTCTGGCCCTTTGTTCCATAACTCACAGCGGAGGCAGAGCTGAAGCCCCAAGTGTCGACACAAAGGGGGCTTCTGGTGGCGAGTTGCGCAGCTGCAGAGGAAGGGGCTGCAGTCGCTGCCGCGAAGGAGAGCCCACACCATCGCGGAGGATGCTCCATTTCAGGTTTGGGGGCAGGAAATGTACTTTGGCTGCACGCAGCCCGTGGGTCTCCCCTCCGGGTGTCAGAAACAAACTGCCGTTTCTGCTCACTGGAAAGCATAGCCTTTTATACCTGGGGGGAGCAGCGATGCTTTCCTGGGGTAACACAGTCATAGGAACGGGCGTGCAGGAGTGTCACAGAAGCACCTGCTGCTTACTTTAATCGGTATAATTAGTGGCCGGTGACAACAGTGCTGTAAAAATGACGAATAAGCTTCCCTTAGATGCCTTCTGACTGATTTCACAAGATAAAAACGGCTATTTCCAGCCTATTTAGTCCCCTTTCACAACATGCTTGGCTTATTAGCACGCTTTGAAGCAAGTGAAGCAGTGAGAGGTCCTATTCTGTACCGTCACTGTTGTGTATGTAAAAACATTTTGGGAAACATTTGCTCACGCCTCACTGCATTCTGGTCAACGCCAAAGTCTCAAGAGACGATGCCTTGTGCCGGCCATTCCTCTTCCCTGCATTTCTGAATTTAACTTCAGACATGCTCAGAGTTGTTCCAGCATGGAAGTGCCTTGGCATTGGACAGCGTGTAAATGCTCAGCTGGCTTAGACCATGCGAATCAAACCTGCTGTCTCTGCTTTAGAAGCACTCTTCTGGTGATTTCTGAGAAATATAGCATTCACTGCTGTGATGCCCATGCGCTGTTATGAAAATGCAGTGGAATGAAGAGCAGGGGTAGATAAGAGGAGCCTCTGCTACATGTCTAGCAAATTGACATTCACATAATTTTACACTTGAGACCCTTGAAAATGAGCAGGAAGTGGGGCTTTTCTTTGGATCTTGAAGAAAAAAGCAATAAAGCATTGAAAGAGAGCGCGTCCCGCTTCCCTGCTCGAACAGAGTTGGCCATAAACAGGGAGGCAAGTATCTGGAAGCTCAGTTTCATTGTATTCTGTGCCTCCGTAGTTTCCAGCAATACATAAAGATCCTTCCCCAGGTCAGGATTGGTACCACACAAGATGAAAGCGGCGTGTATCTGGCCTGGCACTTGAATTTAAAAAGCAAGGAAGTCATTTTAATGTCTTGTGAGTTAGCCGTGATCCACCTGCACGAAGCCCTCACTGTAACAAGTGGTCCACATTTGCTCGTTGTGTCACTCGATCGTCCTCTTGTCTGCATAAAATTCTGCTACGGCTTCAGAGGAGGCCTTCCGAGGGCAGGTTCCCGGGGGTGCATTTGGCCAGCCAGTCGCACGTGGCCGTTTGCGCCGGGAAAGATGCCGAGCTCTCCTCCTTTCCCCCTCTAAACAGAGATCAACGACAGGGAGCAGAAGCTGCATGCACTGAAAGAGGTGCTGAAGAAATTTCCCAAGGAGAACTACGAGGTCTTCAAATACGTCATCTCCCATTTGAACAAGTATGTTCCGCACGTGCCGCTTCTGCCACGCCAGGCTGCAAACGGGGGCGGTGGGGCCGTCGCTGTCGCCGTCGCTTTTAGCCGCCCGCTTTTTAAGAGGCGCTCGTTCCATGCAAGACGCATGTTGGGTCATTTCGCAGCCACAGTGGGGCAGCAGAGCCTGCCTGGAGTGACTCTTTTCCCCGTCGTTTCCCCCAATTAGGCAAGCCTGCATTTATCAGGGGCCTCATTAACCTGGGTGCATCCTGCTGCTCCCGAAATCAGCAGTAGTGCGCTGGCTAAGGCCCCGTTCAGCCTGCTGTCTCCCCGGTTTCATTAGCTGTGGCCAGCGGGCCCTGCTGCTTGGCAGAGGACGTATTTGCCTTCCCCGTTAATGGATCTGAAATAGCCAGCAGCCCCTCGGCTCCGTTGATGCAGCCACTAACGCAGAGTGTGAAAACCTGCCACACTTGAAGGTGTGTTTTGGGCATCACTCCCAACTACCTCCTACTTCTGACGAGTGGGGAGGGGCTTCCCTCTCGCATAGGCCTGAATGTAATTTTGCAAGCTGTGTGCTGGCGTTCTGTGTTTATTCATCTGGACGGACAGCCTTCTTCCAGCCTTTAAATAAATATACTTAGAAAGAGAAAAGCAAAATAATCTCTTTGCTATTCTTTTAGCCATGCTGGCTGGTTTGCACAGTAAGGTGCCTAACATTTAAGACCCCGTTAGTTCATGGACAGTCTGCAGGCCAGGCCCAAGCAGGACTTCTGGCCTGCTCAGCAGCTCACCTAGTCTCTGCCTCGCCGCCTCCGGTTCCTGGTGGGTCCCAGCATTTAACCACTGCTACTGGCTGGAGGATCCCGAAAGCAAGACTTGCAGATCGGGAGGATATCAGTTTGAAGACAGCTGGTTTATGTTGCTTCGTTACCATCTGTTTGAAGCCGACCAAGTCAGCTGAGCCGGGGGGTCCCTCGTGAGAAGGCAGCCAAGGCCCTGTCCACAGCCACCCCCAACTCGCGCCCCTTGGCCCTCGCCTGCATATCGCTGCTTTGGAAAATGCAGGGCGCCCGTTCTGGCTGAATCCAGGCGTTTGTTCAGTGGGTGCTCTTGGAGGAGGGCCAGGCCGGTTGGGGAGTTGGGGGGCTGCGCGCTCCCCCCCGGGGAGCCACGAGCAGGCCCGGCTAACAGGGGGCGGCGCTGTCTCCGTGTCTTGCAGGGTGAGCCACAACAGCAGGACCAACCTGATGACGAGCGAGAACCTCTCCATCTGCTTCTGGCCCACGCTGATGCGGCCCGACTTCAGCACCATGGACGCGCTCACGGCCACCCGCATCTATCAGACAATCATCGAACTCTTCATCCAGCAGTGCCCCTTCTTCTTCTACAATCGGCCCATCGTCGAGCCCCCCGGGGCCCCGCCCGGCTCCCCCTCCGCCCTGCCCGCCAGCACGCCCTTCCTGTCCCCCACGCCCGCGATGGCCCAGCCGTCTCCCCCGCAGACGCCGCCCCCCTCGCCGCAGTCGCCCCTCCAGCCCCTCCTGCCCCCCCAGCTTCAGGCTGAGCAGCATTCACTGTGAACCTTGGCGCAGGAAGGAAGCCGCGGCCGCCTCCTGTTGCCCCACGTGGCACGGGGCCCGGAGGCTCCGCCCGGACTCCCAGCTCTCCCTCTCCCCACGCTCGGCTCTGCTGGGATCTTCGGCCGGGCAGAGCAGCGGCGGGGCGGCGCGCCCGACCCGCGTGGCGCCTCGGTTCTGCCTCAGTGCCTGACACAGAAGGGCCTGCTGGGCCGAGGATGGCGCTGGACGTTCTCCTGAGCAGGAGAGGTCTGGGCCTCTCTTGCAACGCTGAATCTGCCCGGTCCGGACCCGTCTTGACCGGAGTGAGCCTGCAGGATCAGTTGGACCACTGCCACGTCGGACTGTGCGGGGCGGAGGCCGCAAGTGCCTCCTGCCCCTTCTTCAGCCCACGCAGGAGCGGAGAGGATCTGCGGGAGCCCGGCGGGGCACGGAGCCTCCCCGACACATTCCACGGGCGACGGCCGAGGCCTCTCCTGCGCTGCTGGATGTCTCACTCGTTTCGGGGACCCTCATGTTAGCTTAGGCCCACTGGCACCGTCCCGGCGAAGCTGCTCAGAAGGTCTGGACCAACACGTCTGGGAAAAACGGCTTTTATGTTTTGGCAAAGCTGGAGTGTAACTTTCCCTTGACTTTTTCAGTAACAGTCAATGATAAAGTGGGAAGCGAGTCTGCTTGAAACAAACGTAACAAGGAATGGTAGGAAAATGGAACACTTCCACTGTCCGCTGGTGGGGTTGTTTTCGACCAGTCAGAGCAGTGTGGAACAGTGGCTCCTTTTGACTTGCGCAGCGCATTTGTGCATGGCGGAGGTATCCCGGCAAGGTAGGGTGGGGGACACCCAGATCTGCTCTGGCTGGTTCTGCTGTCTTCATTTGCGAAATCATTACATATCTCTCACCCCGTCTCCTGGCAGAATATTGGGGTTAGCACTTAGCAGAGGAGAGGAGAGGAAAGCGCGCGTGCATTTTGCCAGCACATTCGATGTTTTGCTGTCTGACCTGGGGCATGATTAGTTCAGAACACTATGTTGACAGGAACACTGTGTGTGTGTTTGCGTGTGTATGTGTGTGTGTGTGTGTGTGAGAGAGAGAGAGAGAGCAAGAGAGAGAGCAAGACAGAGACCGCGCGCATGGAACCTGAAGCAAGTACAGCTAGAACTGTGTTTTTAAATGTTGCCAGTGGAAATGTGTTTAGTGTAAAGCATGATGCGGGAAGGACATGGAGTGGTGTGCAGGCCCCCCAGAAAACTGGAGCTGGAAGTGGCGAGCCAGAGAAGGCCTTCTATCGGAGCAGTTTTGACGAGCCCCACCACCCCGTGGCTCTGCCTACATGGAACGGCAGCGTAAGACGCAGGTTGGGCCGCTCCGCACCCGGCTGTTTGCCACGCGCGGGGGCCTCGTTTCCTTGCGCGCCGTCCGTGGCCTCTGCCGTTCTCTCCCCGGCTGCTTCAGCGCATGACTTCCTGCAGCTCAGCGCCAAGCGGGAGGCGGCTGGCGGTCCGGCTGCGTGTCTCTGCGTGAGGCCCGACGGGCCACGGTAGGCTCTTGATGTCTGAGGGCAGACCCCGCACTGCAGGGAGAGCGGCCCAGCCAGCACTGCCGGACAGGCGTAGCCGGTCACAAGCGCGGTGTGCAGACCTGGCTTGCATGCCGTCGCCGGGCTCTGTCCACTGCCGGGCTCCCAGCCTCTTCCGCCCCGTGAGGATGAACGTGCCCCGGCTCCCTTGCCCAGCGCCCGGCTCGTGCCCCCGAAGCACGCGTGTGCCGCCCCCCTTTCCTAGTGAGGGTTGGGCATTGCAGCATCCCCAGCCCCCTATGCCCTGCGCATTTTTCTGCACCATGCCTGGGATACGGATTCCGCAAAGCGGAAGAAGAGCCGCTCGGGAAGGGCAGTTCCTCCTTCCCACGCAGGCACCATTGAAGCGAATGGCGGTGGAGCATAAGCAGTGCCCGGTAAACTCTTGTGAGGGGCAAGGAGGAGAGGCGACGGGCAGCGCACCTGTAGTCAGTAATGGGGCAGTTTTAACTGGAGTTTCCACGGTACCACGAGGGAGTGATCCCTATGCCATCCTTTCTCTCTCTTCGCACTTTAAAACGGAATCTGTGGTTTATTGCTATTTTTAGCATTTCAAGGATGTTTGTGTTAAAATTCAGTGGTGGTAGGAGTTGGGGGGGGGACCCCAATCCTTTCTAAAATAAAACTCCTTTGATCTGTTCCTTTTCGGCATAAAGTCTTCAGCAAATGGACTTTCTCTCCTATAAATAAGCTGATTTATTACTCCTTATTTTAGAACCACATTTAAAGTTGTATCTGTGTCCAGATTGCCTGCTTGAAAGCCATCCCTTGCAAGCATTCCTCCCAAGTTTTTATATTCTCATGTGTTAAGAGATGAAGCTGTTGTGTAAATAATTGAACTGGGGGGGGTGGAGTTAGACTGTTAAAAGCAAAGCAGAATATCCCATCTCCCTTCAATTCTGCATGTATAACACTAAGGAAAAGAACAATCGCACAGGAAAGAGGATGAAAACGGCCCTCTGACCTTCCAGTTGCCAAAGACGAGGGTCACTTCATCTGTGCCCAGTAAAGGTCTTGGGCTGGTGACCGCCGGTGTGTGTCTTTGCTTGGCTTTGTCTTCCCCCACGAACAACATGGGCTGAGAGCTTTGCTTTCCACCTGGGACAGGTGACTTCTGTTGAGGAGACCAAGGTGTGTTTCTGTGCCTTCGCTAAGGGTCTGATGTGAAGCGTCTCCCTAAAAGACCTTCTGCCGACAACTGTTTGAACTCGGGACAGTTGTCCTTGCCAGCCTGCCTTGCGGGGGGCATTCCTCGTGGGGAGCCCCTTGAGTTCGCAGGCCTCTGTTGCACCTTGGCTCCTGCTTCACGGCCGGATGCTGGCCTGCCTGCAGGCATCCACACGGCGCTTACTCCTGGTTCCTCCGACTGCTCTGACGTGGGTGCGTCACCCTCGCAAGCAGCCCCCCCCCAGAGCAGAATTTTCGGGCACACAGGTAGCCTTGCCACACTCCACCTGGGGCTCCGTGGCTGATCTGTGCCTTTTGATGCTGCTTCAGGTGCTGTGCTGGGAGCAGGAAGGAGCGCAGCTGTGCTTCTCCCAGATCCTTCCCCATTTGCTAGGTGCGGTGCGCTGAGGGAGGCGGTTCTGGTGTCTCATATTCTTTAGAATATCACGATGGCCCTGTAAAATGCCTTCTTCCAAATTGCACCTGTAATTCCACAAGCCTGCTCAAAAGGTCAAGTTGGTATCCCGGTGCCGTGAGCCAGGCTTTTCCTCCCTTCGCACATTCAAGGCGACAGACCAATCCTTTTGCAAAAAGTGCTTTATTCGCCAAAGTATGCCCAGAAGACTCAGTCGCCACTGAATGTATCTCTGAGCATGTGCAGAGCGGTTTGTTGGACCCAATCTAAACCACTTCCACAAAGCCTCCTTTTGAGTATGCCTGGATCCCGCCCCTGGGAAGCGAGCATGCCTTCTCGTGCGCCAGCCTTCTCGCTGGCCCGCCCTCCCCTCCCCTCCCCTCCCAGCACCGCGTCTCGGGGTCAGGAGCCGTGCCCGTCTCGTGCCCCTACCTGGCAGCTGTACCCTCTGGTTAGGCTCAGAGCCCGCTGGAGCACTTGGGCGGAGAGGTCTTGAGGTAAGCGCCCCCGCGCCGCTCCTCTTAAACTCCGGAGGCCCACTTCCCCCGGCGCCCTCCGCCGCCTCCCCTTCAGTCCCAGACTTGGAGTCATCGTCGGCATGACCCAGGAGTGCGGGCAGAGAACACCCAGCCTGGCGCAGGCGGCTTGATGCAGAACCAAGAGGCCTTTTTATTTCTCGGCGAGAAAGAGACGGAGCAGACGGTAGCTGCAGATCCCCCTTCCTGCTCCCTGCTCTACATTCTGGTGCTGTTCACATGTAACAACAGCAGGTTGTGGGTCAGTTCAGTCCAGAGCCGCCTCAGTGTGTATCAGATACGCCACAGACTTTGCATCGCCAGCCCTGATCGGACCAGTTGGGTTGCTACATCTGAATCCAGGCACTGTCGCTTGATAAGGGCTTAAGCAACCCACAGTTAACCTAGCTATTGATTGTAGGTTAACTACAAGTTGCTTAACTCATCATTAACTTGCACTGTCCAGCTTCAGATGTCACACAGCAACACCCTGTCGGGGTCTGAAAATTCAAACTGGCCGTGGCGTGCACCCCGCATCCGTCAATGACGCGTTGATGAATTAACCCACAATGTGACTGTTACGTGCAAACCAGGTCAGAGTAGTTCCTTCATTTGAGACTGACGGTGCCGGCGTCCGGGACTTGCTGTCCCCTCCGAGTGACAGAGAGCAAGTCGCTCGAGTCTCTGGTTACAAGGAGCTCTTCTGAAACTAGTTACTCTTGCTAATACCCAAACTGCTCCCCTGCACCTCAGACGCAGCAGCTTTCCTTCGCACCCACACCAGCGGCCCCCTTCCGCGTCCACACCGATTACATACCACTTGCAAGCGGAAGGAATATTTTTGGTGTTCCCACAGCTGAGTTAGGTGGTTGGAGAATCGTGTGGGTTTGGGTTTTGTTACACGCTGGGGAGGTGGGCTTCACGGAAGAACAAAGAGGAAGGCGTCTTGTCTGGCCTGGCTTAAACTCTGGTTTCCAGGATCACGTTCGACTTGGAGGCTGCAAACTGCGCTTCCTTCCATTGGCCAAATTTGCTTTTTCCACCTTTGGCCGTGGCAGGACGCTTCTGTTCAGTGAGGGCGAGTGGGGTGGTTTCCCTCCGGCCTTGATCGTCCAGGACTTAGTTTCTAAAGGTTGTCCCACATCCCTTTTTTCTGTGATGGTTCAAAGTAAACGGATGTTGTTGAGAAGGCGCGGGGCTGCTTTGCTGCCGTGACCGAGCGTGGCGTGGCAAACATTTCGAGTGATCGCACTCACTCCGCTTCTAGTGGCCGCTGCGTCGGAGCAGCTCCACAATTTATCAGCTTCCTTGCACACTTGTTTAAGTTCTCAAAAAAGAAAGTTCTCCGTTGCTCGCCTGAATCATTCATCTCTAACTTGGGTAACCCGGCAGCAGCTGTTCCAAGTCTGTCTTGCAGTTCATCGCGGTTTTCTGGCTTGTGGTCTCTGTGCATCTGTTTGTCACCTGGCCAGTGGGAGGCGAGTTGGTCCGCAGCTGAAGCAGTGAGCCCCCAGAGCCTGGGCGCAGCCGGATGCTGGGAATTGTAGTCCCAGTGCATCTGAGGGAGACCGGGCTGTTAACATCTGCTTGTAAGGTGTGTCTGTCTGTCCCAGCTGCAGCTCTGGCTAGTCTCCTGTAGAAGTTCAGTGGAGGGTACGTTCCCCTTGCTGCCTGTGTAATAGATCCTAGCTTAACTGTTAGATTTAACCCCCCCCCTTTTGTTAAATTGAAATACGATAGAAATATTGTATTTTAAATGTAGTTTTAAGGCAGGGCATAAGTTATTGTTTAAATGAAAATTAATTTCCCCCCTGTGTACATTAAAAGCAAAGGCCCACCCATCTGTTTCTCAAATTGTATGGGAATAAAACTTGTCCTAAAATGTCAGATTTAGTTCTGCACTCAGCTTATTTTTTTTTCCCCTGGTACTCGTATTTTCACATGTAAAATAATTTCTATATATGTTGAATTAACACTTTTTATTGAAGAGGAAGAAATATTAATGGTCATAAAAATGTGTTAGTAGTTCCAGCTAAGTATGTGCCCAAAACACTCTTCACAGAAACAAAAATCTGTATGTAAAGAAGAAAAATATGGTTATTTCTCTGTATTTTAGGAGCCTAACAACATCCTTTAGTTATTGGTGATAGAATATCTTTTGTTTTATGCTTCTTTTGAGGACATTTTTAACAATTTGTGGTTCTTCCCCACCCCCCTGGGCCAATCCAATTAGTGCATGATAATGTCGAACGCTCTGGGCAAACAGAAAAGCCCCTTTTCTGCTGAGTTGAAAAGAACAAAAATCATGTATTTGCTACAGAGTATTGTATGTGTCTCAATGGGAATGGTGTAAAAACTTAAAGGCCTTACGTGACATGTATCATAGTTAATAAATCAATCTTGTACAAAAAGGATATCCCTCCACACCCGCCCGTGCGGCTGTTTTCTGCACTCGCGTGTGCGCTGGCTGGCTGGCTGGCTCGCTCACACCCCCTTTGTTTGTGGTGCTTCTGTCTCTTTGTCTCCTCTAGAGAAAAATGTGCTGGCTGCTGGCCGCCGTACACCGCGCAGGGGAGCCCAAGCGCTGCAGGAAGGTCCGGGGGGACTGGCCGGCGATCTGCGAGGCGGGTGAGCCTGCTCTGTCGCCCTCCCTGCTGCCCACGGGGCAGGGCCAGCAAGCCCTGGCCCGGCCCCGCACCGGAGTCAGCCCGGTGCCGAGGAAGGGCTGCGTGTCCCTGGAGCTCAGAGAAGACCTGCCCTGCAGATCGGGCCCATGGAGGTGCGAGGCCGAAGGCCGCTGCGTGCGCCGCCGCCGCTGCTGCTGCTTGGCTGCGCCCGGTGCGTGGCTGCAGGCCTCCCGGCAGCCTGGGCTGGTGGCTGTGGGGGGAGGCAGTGGACGGGTTGTGTCCAGCCGCGTGCCCAGTAGCTGTCCTGCGGTTCTGTGAGCCCTTGTCCGGACGTGTGGAAGAAGAGAACAGGCGGGGGGGGGGGGGTTGTCAGCTTTCTGAAATGCCTGCTCCACTCCTCCCCCTTGGCAGCTGCTTCCAGTGCGCAGTCGCTGCATTGGGCCCGTATCTGCTTGCCCTGCACCGCACATGTCTTCCGAAGGTCACGCGCACACAGACCTTGAGAACTATTTGCCTTGTCTTGTTCCAGCTATAACCACTGACCTTTTGCTTTTGCGTATTTTTAATTCGTGTCGGTGGTTCTCATGCCATGTGGAAAGCTAAGATGCCGCAAATCATACAGCTCTTAGGTCAGGCTCTTCCTGTGCGTATCCCGGAGCCGCAGCGCATCCGAGCAGTGCGGGGGCTGCCTCTGCCTCTGTCGCTGCGCCATCAGGCCCTTCCTGCCTCCTGGTGCAGGTAACCGTACCTGCCCTGCAAGGCCTCTCGGGGCCTCTGGATTGCTGGGCTTGGTCCCAGTAGTTACGACTAATTCAGCGCACGCGTGTTGATGCTGTTGGCTCTGTTCCACAACACACACCTCATGATTCCATTTACACTTCTTAGCAACCCTGACCCTGCTGGACTGTGTGCGCCTTTTTTATTGGCTGCATTTCTGAACTTCCCCACATCCAGACCTTGCTGGGGGCTTCACAACTATTCAAGCCCTGAAATACAATATAAGAGCGAATATACAAGTTTAAAACGGCCTGGCCAGCAGTGGCAGGTTTCAGATGAACCGACAGGCTCAGGCGCCTGGGAAAATAACACCAGCTGGCACAGAAAGCGCAACATGGGCACTGGACGGGCCCCTGTGGGAGCTCGCACGTGTGCATGCACCCCTGGCGGGCGCGCCTTGAAACACCCAGGTGTGCTGCTCTGCCTGCCCCATGGCTCATCTGGGGCATGTGCCTTGGCGCCCCCCCTTCCTGTGTGTGCCCGTTCGTCCTGGCACGCTGAGCTGCTTGCGGGAGCGGCTTTAAAGACGAGCAGTGGGGTTGGCGGTGATACCTTTGCCCCAGTCACTCACGAAAGGATTCGGCAGCAACGGGGGCTTCTTGCTGCTGCGTCCTTCGGTGTGGGTTGTGGAGGAGCAGGTGCCTCTGGATCGGAGACGTTTCGCACGTGCATCGAGAACCCGATGGAAGTAGTCTCAAGGGATGGAAAAACGAGCGTTGCAATTTGCCGTTTAATAAAGAAGGACCCTCTCCAGTCAGATCCTGCCCTTCTCCAAAGAGCTCATTTTCTTCTCACAGCAGTCCCGGGAGGTAGATTGAAGGCAAGGAGGTACAAGCGTCATGGTTTGCGTGGCTCCTCGTCCCTGGCTCCTCCTGGCCACGGCCCAGTCCTCCCAGCAGTTCGCCACACTGCCGTTCCCTGTGGCAAGTTTGGTCTTCAGAAACCACAATACGAAATCGTGGTCTGTTCCATGGTTCCTCTGCACCACCATCACTTGGGTTGTCTGAGCCCAGGACGGTGGTTTCCGCAGTCCTGGAATGCAGCTACCACAGACCTCTCTGGAAAGAGTGGCACCTGCTTCTCCAGCCATCTACCCTGTATTTGGGAGCCAGCGAGAAAGAGGCAGATGACAGGCACGGGGCAATGCCTCTTGGGACTGAATTTCAGGCACGGGGGCTTGGGGGTTACATGCCAACTGGGAGGACTGAGCCGCGAGGATGGAAACCCGGACGAAGTTGAAACCTCTTGATTGTCAGGTAGGTCACGGCAAAAAACGGTGGACCGCGGTAACCACAAGCTGCTTGTCGTATATGAATATAATCATAGGCTAAAGATCACTCACTTTGCGTTTTCGATGGCCTTTCCTTTTTCATTCTTTTAGACTATTATACACATGTCATGACCTGGAGTCCTTCATGCACAAGACCTCCGTGACGGGAGATTGGGGAGGGGAAGGCCCAATCCCACAGTAGCTTCCAAACGGAGCAAGCTCGCCCTTACTTTGCAGCCTTGCAGAAGGCTTAAGGCCATTGCACCCGATCCTATTTTGGCTTGGGAGTTACAGGAAAGCACGGAGATTCGGAAGCTCTGGCAAGGGCTTGCTTAAAAAGTCAGGCACTGGAAACCGGCTCGAAGGACACACGAGGCGGAGCCTCGCAGCAAAGGTGGAGTGGTCTGACGGGGGGGCGGAAGGAGCGTGTGAATAGGCCAGGGCTGTGTTAAGATGTGAGCACAGACCCCGGGACCCCCGGCCTGTGAAGCGAGGCTGGTGCTCTGGCATCCAGGAGCGGAGCGGAAGCAAGCTGAGGGTTATGGAGGGAGCGCCGTGTGGTCCGAGCTGGTGAGCAAGGCAGCGGGTGCTGGTGGAGGCTGGGAGGAGGGGGGACAAACCTCAAGACTGCCAGTGGAGGAAGGGGAGGCGTGAACTTCCCTTTCTGGAGCCGCTGGGAAACCACAAGGCTCCTTCGGCAGACTCGAAAACAACAGAGAAGCGCCTTTCCAGCAAGTCAGACTTCCAGTCTTTGAGACGCGAAGCTTGTGGCAGGGGCTGTGTTCTTTTATTGATTATTTGTGAGCCGTTCCTGGACTGGTTTAACAATCTCTGAATAAATAATAAATATAAATAATCCATCTAGCGTGGTACCCACCAGCAGCCTCTGCAGGAAGATCTTTCGCAGCCCTTCCTGAAGAGAGCAGGGATTAAATCTGGGAGCCTAGGCTCTGACACCGAGCCGCTGCCCCTTCCCATAGCTGGGGCTGGGTGCTGGATGTCTGAAGCACATCCCAGGCCCATCCAAGCCCCCTCCTCTAAAAAAAAAAAAAAAGCAAAGCTGCTCAGCCCCAGAGCTCAGGACCAGGGTGAGCCGATCCTGCTGTCGATGCTAATGTACAGCAAGACCATTGGCCGCGGACCGGTCCTTTTCCCCACATGTGGTCGGGGGTCCGGCTGCAGCTGCGCTCGCTCGCTCACAGGGTTAATGCCGGAGCCCGGCCTCTCGCCGGCTTCCGCATCACCTCCCAAGAAGGAAAACGTTAACGGGGGTCAGGCACGTGTCAGCAGCTGGCAGTGTCTGGAAACCGGTGCATCAGTGATGAGGCAGCGCCGCCCCCGGGGAGCATCTGACATGGACTGGAAGCGGCCTGATTGACAGGTGTGGCGCGGCTGGAGTCAAAGTCCTTCCCAGCTGAGCCACAGGTCAAGTTTGGGCCTAGTCCCTCAAGGCGGCATGGGGAAGAGACCTCCTGACACGGGAGCCGCACGCTCCCGCTCCGTCTTCACGCACGGCCCGCGTCGCCAGCTGCCTCCCGGCCCGCCCTTGTCTTGACCCAAGCAGCTTCCCGTCCCCCCCTGTGGCAGCGCTTGGCTCCTGGGAAGGAAGGGCCTCTAGCCTGGCTGGAATCCACGTCTCGCTCGCCCGCGTGGGAAAAGCAACGAGCGCTTCGTGCTGCGCCACCAGCCGCTTTGCGTGCACCACGCCTGGCCGTGGGTGACTGCCGTGGCCGGGCAGCTTTGCGCGGGGGCAAAGGCGCCGCTGTGGATGCAGCATCTCTCCCAGTTCAAGGGGGGGTTACGAACTGACAAAAAAGGACAAAACTGGCGTGATGTTTGTTAATTTATAGGTATCGTTGCAAAGTCAGAAATAATTGGTTTGGTTTAATTCAGTGCTTCTCTGCCGCATCTGGTGCCCAGGCGCTGTGGACAGGCGCCGTTTGGAGGGTGCGTGATCCTTCAGCAGGAATCAGGCAGGACGACCCTACAGATGGAGAAGGCTTCCCAACAGAGGAGTCTCCCTTGTAAAAGAGGACACCCGGCCATGCTGCCCCGCCTGTCATGGCTGGCCCGACCCTTCCGCCCTGGGCAGCCTCTGTCAGACCCGATACTGTGAAAAGGAGGCCGTTCGTTCGTGCGGGCAGGGGCAGGGGCAGGGGCAGGGCAGGGGGTGCCCCAGGTTCCGCCTCATGTCGACAGGATGCCCAAGGGCCTCGCATGCAACACTGAGGCGGAGTTTGAGAACAGCCGAGTCTTCAGCCATGAGCCTTCCCAAGCACCGCGCCCTCCACCCCCGAGACAGCGAAGGTCTCCTTGCACGGAAGAGCGCACTTGCACGAGCGTCGTGGGCCCGCAGGTCCAGCTCTCCTGCTAACGGGGATGCAGATGCCGCGTTTCCCCCGCATGTGCGAACCTTTCCTGGGGCGGCATTTTCCACAGGGAAATGTGCACATCAGATCTCGGATGGAAGCGAGCGATGAGATGCCGCCGCTGCCGCTGCTCTCGGCAGAAAGACATTCTCACGTTTATGTTGCTAATTTCAGGAAGCAAGGTAACTTTGGAATAATTTTCCACCCCCACCTCTGGATCTAACGAGGCGCTTGATGAGTTGACGGAGGGAGTGTGCAGAAACTTCAGTGGGGCAGCGGGGCAGGCAGTTCTCGGGGCAGGCGGGACATGGGCACCGAAGGTGAGGCCCACCCACTCTGCCCCACACGGTGTTTGGAGGCATGTGGCAGCCCCCGCACCCA